ATGTGGCAGTGAAGGGGTTACACCGAATCTACAGACACGTGGCAGTGAAGGGGTTACACCGAATCTACAGACACATGTGGCACTGAAGGGGTTACATGTAACCTACAGGCACCTATGACAGTGAAGGGGAGATACAGAACCTACAGACACATGTGGCAGTGAAGGGGTTACACCGAATCTACAGACACATGTGGCACTGAAGGGGTTACATGATGTAACCTACAGGCACCTATGACAGTGAACGGGAGATACAGAACCTACAGACACATGTGGCAGTGAAGGGAATACACAGAATCTACAGGCACCTGTGGCAGTGAAGGGGTTACACAGAAGCTACAGACACATGTGGCAGTGAAGGGGAGATACAGAACCTACAGACACGAGGCAGTGAAGGGGAGATACAGAACCTACAGACATGAGGCAGTGAAGGGGAGATACAGAACCTACAGGCACCTGTGGCAGTGAAGGGGGGATACAGAACCTACACACACATGTGGCAGTGAAGGGGTTACACAGAATCTACAGGCACATGTGGCAGTGAAGGGGTTACACAGAAGCTACAGACACATGTGGCAGTGAAGGGGAGATACAGAACCTACAGGCACCTGTGGCAGTGAAGGGGTTACACAGAAGCTACAGACACATGTGGCAGTGAAGGGGAGATACAGAACCTACAGGCACCTGTGGCAGTGAAGGGGAGATACAGAACCTACACACACATGTGGCAGTGAAGGGGTTACACAGAAGCTACAGACACATGTGGCAGTGAAGGGGTTACACAGAAGCAACAGACACATGTGGCAGTGAAGGGGAGATACAGAACCTACAGGCACCTGTGGCAGTGAAGGGGAGATACAGAACCTACACACACATGTGGCAGTGAAGGGGTTACACAGAATCTACAGGCACATGTGGCAGTGAAGGGGTTACACAGAATCTACAGGCACATGTGGCAGTGAAGGGAGGACATTGAACCTACAGACACGAGGCAGTGAAGGGGTTACACGGAATGTACAGGCACCTGTGGCAGTGAAGGGGTTACAATCAGAAACTGAGTGTACGGAGGACATACAGGGGAGAGATTCCTTATTAGTTTCGTTTCCTGGAGTATAGAAAATAGGGAGCCCAGAAGGAGGAGGAGGAAGAAGAGCTTTTAAAAGAACATTAGATCAGAAACGAATCCTCATTGTACCCCAGCATTCAGGAGCTGGCCACACCGGTCATCATTGTACCCCAGCATTCAGGAGCTGGCCACACCGGTCATCATTGTACCCCAGCATTCAGGAGCTGGCCACACCGGTCATCATTGTACCCCAGCATTCAGGAGCTGGCCACACCGGTCATCATCTTCCCCCGGGATTCGGGAGCCATCCATACTGGTGAGTACTGAACTTGCACTGGCTGTACACTATAATGTTCTATTATCAGTGTTTAGCACTGTTACCTCTCAACACTGTACTAGCCCAAACACATAGTTTGGGCTAGTACAGTGCAGTAATTGCTAGTAACCAATCACATTCCTCCCTTCATCTGTTCACAGCAGCTACTACAATGAAAATGATTTCTGATTGGCTTCTATAGGTTACAGGACCTGACGCAGGGCGCTCTGCCTTACTGGACACATTATTTCAGGTGATACGTGTGCGTTTTCTGTGCGATTGTGTGAAACTCCAGAGAGCGTAAAAAGGTGGAACGTGTGTCAGGTTTTATGGTTGTTTGTGACTCTATGTGAGAAATGTCCCATCTTCTCTCCAGCTGATCAGTGAACAGGAAGTAAGGGCAGATTTGCCCAGTGGGGACACCGCAAAAAAATCCTGACATAGACATAGCCCTTCGTTGCTTCCCCAATAAAGAAAAACCTTAATAAATAGAGCCCTCTGGGAGTTCTGGATTCAGTGCTTAACCATCTGACTTTAGTGAATGCATAGCCCCATTTTTTTTGTTTTAGTTTTGAATTGAGTAGGGAAGGATTACAACCATTGCCAGTTTGATTTGTTCTGTATGTGTCCCGTTGGGTACATTTGCTTTCACTTCCTGTCCTGGCACAACAAGAAATGAAAGTAATTCTCTAAAAGTTCTCTAAAAGAGGAATCCCCTTCTTAGACAGGTATCACGGAAATAAGTGTCTCCATTGGAATATTTCCTCTGAACTCCTGTTCCTTTGACAGTGGATACATTTTGGATTTGTCATTACTTTGTCTCTGTGGTATGGCCACCATGACAAACAGCGAGAGTAAATCTGAGGGGACACAAATGGCCATGAAAACCTGACGGGGGTTCTAACGCTTCCTGACTTTATTAGTCTGCTGTTAGCAAGAGTTCCCCTCACTTTTCTGTCTGACAAACCAGTTATTTCCTTGTAAAAGTAGCAGTGACATCAGTACTGTGCTGTACATCATTCACATGGCATTACTGCCACTAGATGGAGCTGAGGAGCATAGGAATTCCTATACTCCTTGGCTCTATCTAGCAGCAGTAATTTTGTACGAACCGCATTCCCCTAGCTGTACGCTGGGAGAACCCTTTATAAATCAGCTCCAAAGTGTTTTACTGGCTGGATCATCAGCTGAAAAAAGAAAACAAATGCAGCCATCAGTTAGAATGACAACGCTACTCCTCCATAGTTACAGTAGAGTAAAGAAACGTTGTCCCCTATGACAGGAAGGAGCTGATTTATAAAGGGTTTGTGTAAGGTATAGCTGTGCAAATTCCATTCACACTGCATTACTGCCACTAGATTGTCCTAGTCCTAACACACTTCCTGTCCTAGATTGACAACGCTGCTCCTCCATAGGTACAGTAGAGTACAGAAGCGTTGTCCCCTATGACAGGAAGGAGCTGATTTATAAAGGTTTCGCCCAAGGTATAGCTGGGCGAACACCATTCACACAGTGTTACTGCCACTAGATGGAGCCGAGGAGCCTAGGAATTCCTTTGCTCCATCAAACAGCAGTAATGTTGTGTGAATGGCATTTGCCCAGATATATGCTGTGCGAATCTTTTTTAAATCGGCTCCGAGATGTTTTACTGGCTGGATCACCAGGGCACAATAAAGGATAAAAACCTGAAAAAAGAAAAACGAATGCCTCTGCCACATCTAAAGACGGGCATATTACATTTTGGTAGGGATTCACCGATACCGATACTAGTATCGGTGCTGAGGCCAAGTATTTGGGTGAGTACTCGTCCAAATGCTCCAATGCCTAGCCCGATACTTCCCGTATCAGGAAGCTGGGCAGCGCGTCATTACACGCTGCCTGGCTTCCTGATTGGCCAGGAAGTTGGCTCCATGCTCTCTCGTTACTTGTGACGAGAGAGGGGGGAGCCGGCTTCCCGGCCAAGCAGCGAGCTGGGCAGCGTGTGATGATGTGTTGCCCGGCTTGCGACTTGTGATGAGAGAGCATGGAGCCGGCTTCCCGGCCAATCAGGAAGCTGGGCAGCGTGTGATGATGTGTTGCCCGGCTTGCGACTTGTGATGAGAGAGCATGGAGCCGGCTTCCCGGCCAATCGGGAAGCTGGGCAGCGTGTGATGATGTGTTGCCCTGCTCACGACGAGAAAGCATGGAGCCGGCTTCCCGGCCAATCGGGAACCTGGGTAGCATGTAATGATGCGCTGCCCGGCTTCCTGATTGATCAGAAGCTGGTCAATCAGGAAGCCAGGCGCCGTGTAATGACGCGCTGCCCAACTTTCTGATTGGTTGGGAAGCTGGCATTATGCTCCCTCGTCACCTCATGACGAGGGAGCATGGAGCTGGCTTCCCGGCCAATCAGGAAGCCGGGCAACGCGTCATTGCACAGCGCCCAGCTTCCTGATTGGCCAGAAAGCCGGCTCCATGCTTTCTCATCACCTAGTGACGATAAGCATGGGGACGGCTTCCCTGCTATCGGGAAGCCAGGTGGCGAGTCTTTACATGCCGCCTGGCTTCTTGAATGGGACTTGGTATTCGGTATTGGCGAGTAGCGTAAAAAAAAATGTCGGTACTCGAAACCGGTATCGGTGCATCCCTACATTATGGGTGTACATAGTTATGTAGGTAAAGGAATTTGATTTTCAGGAAATGGTCTGCATGAATGTGAGTTTATAGAAGATATATGCAGCAGGTTAATAATAGAATTATTGAGAATGATGAATTTGCACTAAACATGGAGTAGGAGTGGCACAGGTTTGCTTACTTCAGTGCTCTGGGGCCCTACTTTTAGATGAGATGTTTAGAAGTGTTGACAATGAAAACAGCAATTAGAAAAACCCACTCCAACAGGTCTATTCACTGAAGGGGGAAGGGTTTGGAGAAGGCCGGAGAAGGGAACAATCTAGGACAACATAGCTTATGTGGAAAAATTCTCCAATTCCAGTTGAGCTATGTTGTCCTAGATTGTTCCCTTCTCCAACTCTTCCCCCTTCAGTGCATAACCCTGCTATGTATGGCGTTGATGCCAAGCTTTGCCCCTACACCAGCTTTATAAGCTACTTGGCCAAGGACAGTCCATTTTGCATACTCTTTTCACCCCGGGACCACTGCAGCGTAACCGAAGTCATCTGTACAGAATAAAGCCATTTGTGAGAACTTGCTGAGCACCCGCAGATCCAAACCAGTTACATTAGTTCTCAAGTCCCAGCATATCCTCTCCTGTTATGACATCGGCATTGTAATAGTTGTGTCTGATACAATCAAATCTGACTCGATAAAATCCCTTTTATGTAGTGAGCGCTGCCTTCCGTCTGCCCATCACTTTCACCAACTTCCTGGACCCGCAGTGTGCATTGAGTCTCTTTCCCTGCTGCCTGATGTGATGCAATCTTGATTTCTCAAGACTACGTATCCCATCATGCATTACTTCCACCAAGCAATGATAACGTTACAATGTTAACTTTTTGCATACCTGGAGTTCTTCTTAAAGTCATAAAGAAGTCACTAGAATTCTAGGATTTAACCCATTGACTTCTCACGCTAGGTGCAACATTGTGACAATAGGAAGCAGGCGACCTGATAGCCAGTATAATGAACGTTCGGCAACGTCGCGTCAAAAAGGACTCTGATCGTCTAACCAGGCGTCTTCCGAAGACCCAGCTGGTATGACTATTGGAATATAAGCCTCTCTCTGTTTCATTAACACCTTCTTTACTAAAAAAATTGTCACAGTATTTTCTTACTGCATCTTGGGCTTGTCATACACTGTACAATCTGATTGGACAATCTCCTTCAGAACTACCATTAACTATGTATGGCAAGGGCCGGCCTGATTGGATGCTAGCTGAATGGATTGGTTTGTCCTATTACGTTGTTTTGATAAATCTATAGTTGATTGTGTAAAGATTGTATGGTCAGATTGCAATGTGTATGGTGACCCTTGGGCTGGGCATACACTATACAGTGAGTAAAACACGGTGCCTGCTGTTTCGGTGTTGCGATTAGGGCGTGCCCAGGCACACCCCATAAGCATTGCCTATGCTCCTTAAATAGCTTACCCTTTATGTGTGGTGCAGGTGACAGGTCCTCTTTATATATACATAATGACACTACTCTTGAACAGCTTCTCATTATTCATTCCTCCTACCACGTAACAACCAATAACATGATTCGTATTCTAATTCCTTATACTTTTTTTTTCTTTTTCTCATCAAGTCGCCAAACTCCAACATGAAACCTTGTGGGTTTTCCCTTGATCCGTCATTGATTCGCAAAGGTAAGGAGACTTGGTGCTGCAAGTATGTGTGATTAGTCCAGGGGCCAACCAGAACCAGAGCCCTATACTGCTCCTATTTGACCATACAATGACTCCTCTGCCTATGGCCTATCAGGTTCAACCAAAGGCGCCCAGTTGTTGTCATTCATTGACAGCCCAGTGTCCTCAAATGACCTAAGGACGCTTGAATGCCAACAATTGGGCGGAGCCAGCTGTGACATCACATCTGACTCCACCCAGGTGTCTTGATTTGGCCGACCCATATGACAGGTGGCGGCCAAATCAAAACAAATAGGCGGAGCCAGCTGTGATGTCACCACTAGCTCTGCTCATTTGTTTACTTTTTGCCGCCAGCTGTCATACAGGTGAGCGGGCATCGGGATTTTTTTGATTTCGGAGAGTCGCCATCGTCATTTCTATTAAAGGACTTGTCAAAAACCTTTGTTGTGTTTTTTTCAGTTAAAGGACTTTTTCAAAAGTGTTTTTTTTATTTATATTGTTAACCTTTTAGTGAATGATTACCCCTTACTCATTCACAAGGGGGGCAGCATCTGGGTGCCCCTTTATTAAAGGGGGTGCCCCAATGCAAAAATCCCCCCTGCCCGCAGACCCCCAAAACCAACGCCCCAGGACTTGTGGAGAAGAGGCACTTGTCCCAGTGCCTAAGGCATTTAGCCTGGTATGGCAGTGGGGTGGGGGTGGGGGGCACTCGCTCCTCTCCCCCCTTTCCTGCTCTACCAGGCCTGAGCTCGGATTAAGGGTCGGGTTAGGAATTTGTTTTTCCCCCATATGCTTTATGGGGGTGTGGTTCCTTAAACTCCTACCAGACCTAAAGGGCCTGTTATGACTTTGGGGGAAATCCTACGCATTTTTTCTTGTTTTACTTGGGGTCCCCCCTAAAGTGTCTGGTATGGATCGGGAGGGGGACCCCACGCTGTTTTGTTATTATTCTGCTCACTACCTCGGAGGTAGCAAGCAGAATAACCGAGTCGAATGCCATTCAGCGGCATTCGGCTATTCACTCACTGCCGTTCGGCCCCTATGAGAATAGCGGCGAATGGCATCGAGAGAACTGCCGGAGGTTCAGCTCAGCCGATCCAGATGTTGAATCAGCTGAGTCGAGCCGCTCCTTCACTTCGGCTCAGCCGTTCATGCTGAGCATGTTCGACTGAACTGAAGCCAGCTGATGTATGGCTGATGTACAGGGACTCCTTTGCTGCCACAAGAGGATTGTATGACCACCGTCACAGAAAGATTGCTGGATATCTTATGGGACTTGTATGTTGACCAGCCTATTGAACATTTACAATCTGTAAGCTTTATTTTATACCAGTTACAAAAAGGTGATTTTCTGCACCAATCCAGCATGCTTTTTTCATTGTAGTTACAGTATAAAGATCATCTAAAAAGTAATAATGATGCCAGTTGTACTATTTTCCTTTCCTGGTTCCTCCCTCTTGACCTTCAACAGCATACTAATGAAATAAAAAAACCAAAAACCTTTCCGTATTCGTTACATACAGGTGAAACTCGAATAATTAGAATATCGTGCAAAGTTCATTTATTTCACTAATGCAACTTAAAAGGTGAAACTAATATATGAGATAGACTCATTACATGCAAAGCAAGATAATTCAAGCCGTGATTTGTCATAATTGTGATGATTATGGCTTACAGCTCATGAAAACCCCAAGAACCCCAAATCCACAACCTCAAAAAAGTAGATTATTACATGCAATCAATAAAACAAGGATTGTACATAGAACAATATCGGACCTCTGAAAAGTACGAGCATGCATATGTACTCAGTACTTGGTTTGGGCCCCTTTTGCAGCACTTACTGCAATTACTTTTGCACAATATTCTAATTATTCGAGTTTCACCTGTACCTTATTTTATCTGTGCATAGAGAAATATGCAATGCAGGCAGATGGGAGGGGCTGGCAGGGTGCTGAAGTATCAGTACTTGCAAAACTGGTATCGGTACATCTCTAATATACAGTATGTCTATAAAAACAAAATCATACATTAAAACCGAGATGAACGGATCCCAGGAGCTCCGTGTGCTCCTTACAAATGACAGCTGCCTCCTAACGTTTGAGTTTTTCTCTAGTCTAGTCTTGGAGCTGGAAAAGTATCTGTACGTGTACTTGTACCAAGTACGGTACATCCCTATTTTTAATGATGGTGCATATGTTCATCAGAGTAGACAGATCTGCCTGTTGCATGTCCAGATTTTGCACTTCTTTATTTTCTCCTTCTCAAAGCAGATCTATGAAAAGGTCTGTAGAGTTCATTAAACGTGAGGGCAGTGCTAAGCAAAATGTTTTCTGCTCCATCCTGACACTCTAGAATAAACCCCTCAGTCCAGAAAACTTTATTCTATCATAATTTTGGTAAATACTGAGCCGTTAAAGATTTTTGTTTGAAATTTCAGATTTCTGCTTTGGACTGGCATCACAGCTGACTGATGATGACCCAATGGTATGTACACATATAACTTCCAATTTACTCCAATGTAATTGTGAGATTATGTTTTTAAGAGTACTATAGCCCCAGCTTTTTTGCCCAGAGTACTCTTTCGGGTCACAGGATGACATTTACTATGTCCTCCTCTGACCCAAAATTTAGCATATAGCGGGCTACAGGACTGATCCTGACAATATTTTCTGATACAACCCAAATTGCCTGATTGACAACTGGCTCTGCCTCTCTGGAGTCACAGCCAGCTGTGCCCGCCCCCTCCCCTGTCTTTTCCTCCAATGAGCGCTGGAGGATCGGAGAGGGGAACCCCTGCTGGGAGCCGTGACTGACACTCACCGCTCCCTGCAGGGAGAAGATCAGGAGCATTCAGCATTACTCAGTTCAATAGAGCTGACGTGTGACTCTGCAATGAGGGAACATGGAAGAAGCAGGAAGAGTCTATCTAAGACTATGCCAACTGACACTAAACAGGAGGGGAGGACAGTGGGAAATACCAAATGTGTAAAGAAAAATAAGTTGTAGTAGCACTATTCTACCACTAGATGTCAGGAATATACCATAACATAATAAAATACACTGGAATACATAACAATGTAATAGAAATAATATTGGCTGTGGCAGGATAGGTGCCATATTTTTAATGGTGGCTAACCCTATTACAACTTGCAGAAACCAAGTGGGTGATGAATGTGGATTTGCAAATACTATTCACATCAGGATAGATTTAAGGACATAGTCACAGCTAACCATGCTACCCCTGTGGGGTCCATAAGGAAAGGGGTATTGTGTAGGTTTACATTGTCCAGGTTATAGTAGAGCTAATCATAGTTTTTCACATTTAAAGGGTATCTATGGTCAAAAATGAAAAAAATTAATAGTTGTTGCTATATTGAATTTCCATAAGTTCTATCCCACTCCTAATAACCATTTCCATATAGAAGTTTGTAAACGTACTTATTGAAGACGCCCAAAGGATGTACACTATGTTGCCAAAAGTATTGGGACACCGCTCCAAATCATTGGATTCAGGTGTTCCAATCACCTCCATGGCCACAGTTGTATAAAATCAAGCACCTAGGCATGCAGACGCTTCTACAAACATTTGTGAAAGAATGGGTCGCTCTCAGGAGCTCAGTGAATTCAAGCGTGGTACCGTGATAGGTTGCCACCTGTGCAATAAGTCCATCCGTGACATTTCCTGGCTACTAAATATTCCACGGTCACCTGTTAGTGGGATTATAACAAAGTGGAAGCAACTGGGAACAACAGCAACTCAGCCACAAAGTGGTAGGCCACGTAAAATGACAGAGCGGGGTCAGCTGAAGCACACAGTGCGCAGAAGTCGCCAACTGTCTGTAGAGTCAATAGCTACAGACCTCCAAACTTTGTGTGGCCTTCAGATTGGCACAACAACAGTGCGTAGAGAGCTTCATGGAATGGGTTTCCATGGCCGAGCAGCTGCATCCATGCCTTACATCACCAAGTGTAATGCAAAGCGTGGGATGCAGTGGTGTAAAGCGCGCCGCCACTGGACTCTAGAGAAGGGGAGACGTGTTCTCTGGAGTGACCAATCACGCTTCTCTGTCTGGCAATCCGATGGACGTGTCTGGGTTTGGCGGTTGCCAGGAGAACGGTACTTGCCTGACTGCATTGTGCCAAGTGTAAAGTTTGGTGGAGGGGGGATTATGGTGTGGGGTTGTTTTTCAGGGGTTGGGCTTGGCCCCTTAGTTCCAGTGAAGGGAACTCTTAAGGCATCAGCATACCAAGACATTTTGGACAATTTCATGCTCCCAACCTTGTGGGAACAGTTTGGGGATGGCCCCTTCCTGTTCCAACATGACTGTGCACCAGTGCACAAAGCAAGGTCCATAAAGATATGGATGAGCGAGTTTGGGGTGGAGGAACTTGACTGGCCTGCAGAGTCCTGACCTCAACCCGATAGAACACCTTTGAGATGAATTAGAGCGGAGACTGCAAGCCCGGCCTTCCCGTCCAATATCAGTACCTGACCTCACAAATGCGCTTCTGGAAGAATGGTCAAACATTCCCATAGACACACTCCTAAACCTTGTGGACGCCTTCCCAGAAGAGTTGAAGCTGTTATAGCTGCAAGGGTTGGGCCATCTCAATATTGAACCCTACGGACTAAGACTGGGATGCCATTAAAGTTCATGTGTGTGTAAAGGCCGGTGTCCCAATACTTTTGGCAATATAGTGTACTACAATTTCACTCAGCCCTGTGAATATGCACTTCCTTGTGTCACCACTCTCACAGGGCCTGCCTTCTGAAGCATGACAACATCTGAGCAATGTAACCTTATCATTGCCTGCTGCAAGCAATGCATGATGGGATATGTAGTCTTGAGAAATCGAGATTGCATCACATCAAGCACCAGGAAAAGAGACACAAAGCACACTGGGAATCCAGGAAGTTGTTGAAAGTGATAGGCAGATGTAAGGCAGCACTCACTACATATATTTTCAAGTAACCTTTAATTGCATTATCAAAAGCAACTACAGTATAGTATTCCTATTACAATGGTGATGGTATAACATAATATATGCTTTACAGCTCCTTTAACTGGATTTGTTCTGTAGTGTTGAAGATGATTGATTGTTAACCCAGAAGTTGAAATGTATGAACTCCTGCTATCTGTAAATGAGAATCTTCTTCATATTCTTTTGTTCTCTTCAAGGAACAGTCGGATAATGTTTTAGATCAGCAATATGAATATCAGATCCGCCCCTGTATCGACCTCATTGATTCACTGCGGGCGCTGGGGGTGGAGAAGGACCTGGCCTTACCAGCGATCGCGGTCATTGGTGATCAGAGCTCTGGGAAAAGTTCTGTATTGGAGGCTTTGTCCGGAGTGTGTCTCCCCAGAGGCAGCGGTAAGGAATTCCTATCTATTGGTATCATTTGTGTTATATTTATATCCATTTTTTCCAGTAAGCCAAAAACATGCAGGCAGGTTAATTAACTTCCACCAATACAGCCCCTACATGGATGTTCTCTGTATACAGGTGGTCGCATGTGACCCAGTAATAGCAGGCGATGCTTCTGATTTTGAGATTTGTTTTAAACAATGAGAACATTTTTGAGACCTCAGGAAGTTACGACGATCCCCTCCGTTGGTCGGTAGTGCTCGTTATCCCACAGTGGTATTGACCGTTCTGCAGGGCAAGAACTGCGGCTGGTCCCAAAGACAGAAAGATACCTTACCACCATAGTGTAGCATTGTGAGAGACCCAGGATATGAATTTTGTAGGGTGCGTAGTCTGAGAGTCACGTTCAGATGAACAGACCTGATTAAGTGGACATCGGGTTACGCACACACACGCACACACACAGCAAAATGACTTAAAGGAGGAATATCCCCTTGTCTCCTAACAGAGACAGTCCCCATCTATATTCCTTTTAATATGCAGCAACAGTCATCATATGCAGAACTAGTGTTGGGCTTGCTTATTAGGAGATCCAGCATGCCCTGCACACTATATAGTAAAGGAGAATCTTCTATTAATATTTTGTTTCTAAAATAAAGAATATAAATAAATAAAGGACAAAATATTATAACAAAATAGTTTATAAACTTGCAACCTCTCTAAAGAAATGTGAAAGTATAACCAAACATATCGTGGTGAGGTGAGCTAAATGAAGCCAAAAAATTCTTCATGTAAAGTACAGTAGAGCTTACTTAGAACAGAAGGTAGCCATGTGCCTCATTTCCATAACAAATCCCCCCCCCCAAAAAAAATCATCTTCATTTTAGCATTTGGGGCGGAGCCATGCAAACCATTACTCTTTGCCTTCTGGCCTACTATGTATCTATTACACACTGCAAGCAGCTGTTTCAGATATTGTAGGCCACCATCAGTGCGGTGCATAAAAACCATATGGGGTAGGGCTTGGGGGAGCAATGAGAAAGTATAATCAGTCAGGTTATGAAAAGGTAGACTAAAGGGAACCAAAAACCCCTCATCTAAATCAGATTGCAGCATAGTACAGCCTTATCAAAGGGGAAGCACAAACTGCACTAACCCTTTGCATTTCAATGCAAGTTATACTGTATATTCCTAAATAACTTTGTGATACCAATTTATTTTCTCTACAGGTATCGTCACACGTTGTCCCCTGGAGCTCAAGCTGAAAAAGTCCCGAAGGGGTTCAGAGTGGTGTGGCAAAATAAGCTATCTATCACTAAGCATAGAACTTACAAGTCCAGCTCAGGTGGAGAATGAAGTCTGGAAGGGTAAGCACTCTTCTTTGAGGAGAAGTAATAAGGTGTGCTTGTACAGGAAGACAGGTTGCTGCTTAAACCAGCTGCTGAGAGACTCTGTGTTCTAACAAATAAACAAACAGCCTGGTTAAAAAAACACACAGTTTTCTGGTAGTTACTACCTCCCTTAATGCCCTGATGAAGGGGACACCCTGTGACCCCCAAAATGCATTGGCTTTGCGATAAAGTCTTCTACTTCAACTTAGAATAAATATGTATCTAAACGATTCATTTTTAGTGGTGATGCTTTAAAGGAGAACTATGGGGTCAGTGTTTTTCCCCATAGTTCTCCTTAGGGTAACGGGAGGACACAAACTAGCGTCCTCCCGTTACCTTAAGCTCAGTATACCGCAAGCTACAGCTCGCGGTATACTGAGACGCCGCACCTGGAGCGGATCCCGACTTAGATGACAGGATCCGCCCAGCTGCGTGAGTGACAGCTGGCTCTGCCTATCTAGAGGCAGATCCAGCTGTACCCGCCCCCTCCCCCGTCTGTTCCGCCAGTCAGCGCTGGCAGATCGGAGCGGGGAGAGGGGAATCCAACCCCTCCCCCTGTCAAGGCAGAGAGCCGTGACAGGATCGAGAGGTGAGGGAACCCAGTATGTGTTCCCTCACCTCCCTGCAAGTGCCAACAATTCAATCAACGGATGTGGAGGACGTCATGGGATCAGCAAGTGTCCATAATGTAATTCATAGTGTCATCTTAGAATCACTGTGGATTTGTAGCAGATTCAAACAAGGTGTCCAAAAGCCTAGGGAAGCAGGGATCTACCTTAAAGGGGACATGAGGTCATTAATATATGATACAATATAGGAGACCCACTATTGGAGATTTATTATTCTATTGTAAAAATAATGCTCCTTCCCTCCAAAAATCTGATAATGCCACCCTGTACTTGTATTAGATTGTGCCAAGCACAGTAGATTATTCTTGTCTTTATAAGTCTCCAGCATATCAAGATTAGAGGACAGCTGTCTTGGCATTGAAGCTATTGTTCCTTAAACCAATTCCAGAAAATATGTTTATGCCTTTCTGTCATTGAATGCTAGTTACCTTAACCTTCAAAGCTGGAATGCCCTACATGAACTTTAGTTACTTCGACCTACAAAGCCAAATGTCCTGCATGAACTCTAGTTACCTTGACTTACAAAGCTAAATGCCCTACATGAGCTTTAGTTACTTCAACTCTACAAAGCCAAATGTCCTTCATGAACTCTAGTTACCTTGACCTACAAAGCTGAAATGCCCTACGTGGGCTCTAGTTACTTGGAACCTACAAAGCCAAATGCCCTAGTGAACTCTAGATACCTCAACCTACAAAGCCAAATGCCCTACATCAGGGGAGGGGAACCTTTTTCCTGCCAAGGGCCATTTGGATATTTATGACATCATTCGTGGGCCATACAAAATGATCAACCTTTAAATTAGCTTGATATATTTGGTGAAACATTTAATTAACTCACCCCTAATGTGATGGCTGGAACTGCTTCTCTTAAGCACACAGAATAAACAGGCTTTTTCACTGAACCCCAAATTACATAAATAAAGCAAACTGGAAGATTAAATTAAACTTTTCACTTGCTTTTTTGCTTGCAAATTTGTCAGTTGTAGAATCGACCAATTACACTTGCATGCACATTTTATATATAATATATAGAAAACATCATGTGACACGGAATGGACTATTGAGTCCTGCGACATCTGTTGTGGCTGCTGATGGGCTGAAGGTGGCAAAAATCCTGTGTAATAAAATTAGGAGGCCTTACACTGGCCACCAATGTAACGGATGTATTCTCACTCACCAGCAATGTAACAGAGATATTCACACTGACAGCCAATGTAACGGAGGTATTCACATTGATCACCAATGTAACAGAGATATTCACACTGGTCACCAATGTAATGGAAGTATTAACACTGACCACCAATGTAACAGAGGTATTCACACTGACCACCAATGTAACAGAGGTATTCACACTGACCACCAATGTAACAGAGGTATTCACACTGACCACCAATGTAAGAGAGATATTCACACTGACCAGCAATGTAACGAAGGTATTCACACTGACCACCAATGTAACAGAGGTATTCACACTGACCAGCAATGTAATGGAGCTACTCACACTCAGCAGCAATGTTATACTGTAGGTATTCACACCGACCACAAATGTGACAAAGGTATTTACACTGTGCAGATGAAAAAGCACACTGCAGTTGAACCCAACCTGCCTGTTTATAGCACATTATTTGATTAGCTAAATCCATCCCCATCTATTATTACCCCCGATCTGCCAGTGAAGAGACCACCTGTGACCCTCAACACCCATCTGCTCCCACTCTCCCCCACATCCCCTCTCCTTCCACATCTCCCCTCTACCCTCCCTCTCCCCCCGTATCCCTTATCCTCCCACATCTCCCCTCTGCTTCCACATCTCCCCCTGCTCCCACTCTCCCCACATCCCCTCTGCTCCCACATTTCCCTTCTGATCCCACTCTTCCCCACATCCCCTCTCCTTCTGTCATCAAATGTAAATCTAACAGCCAGGCTCCAGCTTGTGCTCCAATCAACCCTATCCTAATCTGCCCCTGGTGGGGGATGGGGGTCGGTGACGGGCTCCCTCCTGGCCGTGGGCCTTCAGGCAGTGCCTGAATGGTCAGTCCGCCCCTGGGTCTGGCAATCAGCTGCTCTGGTACCGGCACTGCATCCTAGGAGGAAGGGTAGCAGATCACACGCTCCTTCACATCCAGAAGCACTGATTATTTTCTGATGACCCCATTAGGAATGGAGCATCAGGAGAGTGCTGTAAACATGGGTATCAGTAGGTGAGGGTGGTGTGTAATGAGAACCTGCCACTCCTTATGAGCAAAGTGATAGATATTTTTCAATAAATATGCCCCCAAGACAAGCTGTGTGAGTCCACACAGTCCACACAGAAGCCACTGGTAAGCAGATATGTCTTTATATAACTTTGGGGTATATACATAAAGCAGTGAATGTGACTTTCACCAAACATTTACAGGGGCGGGATTTAAAAACATACACCCGAAAGATATCCAGGTCAAAATATCCATATCCAAAATGTACAAACAGCATTCTTGGGACAGCCGGAGTTCTTTGACGAGATTGGGAGACAACAGCAATTGGGCAAATGGTTATTGTATTGTGATAATGCTTAGTTTTGTTTATTTATTTTTTCCTTTTAACAAATACACATAAGTAAATCTGAATGGCTGCATCCTGATAATTTTTGTTTTATCTCTCATGCTTTGTAGCCCAAAACTTCATAGCAGGAGTAGGGAAAGGTGTCAAGGATTACCTGATCACCTTGGAAGTTGTGTCCCCAAATGTCCCAGACCTGACACTGATCGATCTGCCGGGAATCACACGGGTCGCTTTGCCTGACCAGGACCCTGATATTGGACAGCAGGTTCGTCTTATGGCCTTAATTGTATGACCAGATATGTGTAATATCTTCTACAGGACTATAAATACTAAAATACATAAAAGAAGAAATAAAACCATAGCACAACTTAATCTTGACTCAACAATATGATTACATTAGGGATACAGTTATAGGAGGCTCTATATGACTAGCAGGCTCTTAGCAGACACCATACACATAAGCAAGCGTTAAAGCCCATTTGAACCCTTGTTTTGTTTTTTTTTGTTTTTTTGGGCTGGTGCAGTCAGGCTGGCTTTAAAGTGCTATCTGGAGGTCTTTTATTATTATTATTATTATTTATTTGTTTTACTTTTTATTATTATTATTAGTAGTAGTAGTTATAGTATTTATTTATTTTACTTTTTATTATTAATATTATTTTATTACTATTATTTACTATTGCTGCATGTCACAGTGATTTAAAGGGAACTCTAACACAGGAAAAATAACACATTTACCATTGCAGTGGGACGTTTTGATTTTCTCAGAGTTCTTTAAGGCAAAACCTTTTCTTTTAAATTTTGGAAAGAAGTGTTGGATCCTCTGTCATGTTTTCATGGCAGCCTGAGCCTCCACTAGGGAGATTCACCCCCCTAATTGGCTGTGGTGTCCATTGTCATCTAAGCAGAAAGTGATGGGAAATCCACAGTTTTAGCATCATTAAAGCAAGAGGGGGGGGATCTTCCAATGTGAACAACAATTCTGGTGACAACTCTCTAATTCAGAAATTCTCCTCACCTTGGAGGGATTTCCTTGTATCTCCTGTTATGTCTTCAGGACAGGAAGTAAAGGAAATCAAAACACAGGCAGCAAAATGAAAAGGTGTGTGTATGCATTGGGGGATTTAACCCTCTCCTACTCTATCTAAATTAAAAAAAAGGGGCTATACACACACTTTAAAGCCCAATCCAACGGCCAAAGGGCTAGAAACTGTCAGGTTTGCATTGCTTCTAGAGTTTCCAGAGGAGAGACTTCCCGTTATTCTTATCACGGGTATCCGGACACACTCTAACGTCCTGCAACACCACACTTAAAACTTTAAAGACATTCTAACTCACCAAAACCAAAACAAATCCACATTAATGAATGTAAAGCAATAAACACATTTTGAATTGGTTAATAAATATAGCAGCAAGCAGTGATAAAGAAAAAACAAAGCACTCTGGCATAGTGTAGATCTTTCTCTAATATAAAAACTAGGATATTGCACTCGCATATCTATATCAAACGCAGTCTCCTGTTGCACAAACTCTCTGCCTATGGCCACTGGCATGCAAAACGAGACTGATCTTAGCCTTAATAGCATACTTTGTGTCGCACTCCAGACCAGAATTCCAATAGGATAAGACTACTTATGTGGGTGACTACTTCTACATCTGGGGGCTCGTATGACCTGCGAATGGTGATGCGTGAATCCAATGTAGAAGTATTCACCCATCCAATATATTAGTACGCCTTTATTTAGACGCTATAAATACATGCTATCACTAATGGACAGCAATGTTTCAGAACCATAAGTGGTCCCTTCATCAGACAAACAGAGTGACTCTGTTTGCCTGATGAAGGGGCCACTTATGGTTCCGAAACGTTGCTGTCCATTCGTGATCTTTGCCTTAGACATGGGGTACTCAGAACGTAGAGTCCTCTCTTATGTCCCGGCGCGTTCTTCGTCAGCTCTCCCTGATTACCACCAGAGGCAAGGAGTACAACATTGTTCTGTACTTCTGTTGTTTTTTTTTAACCTGATTAGGACTGGGATATAAAGATTTCAACATCCTAAAAATGATTTCAGAAGATCCCAGAACTAATTCAGAAATGGGCACTGAAGAAGCTTTGTAACGTCTGCTCTTAGGCAGGACTACCATCAAAATATGACATTGGAGTAGACCTGCACTCCTAGCCTATATTTGGTTATATTTTAACTGGAAAAAATGTCCTGTTTTCACAGATCAAGCTGATGATCAAGAAGTACATTAGCAGACAGGAGACCATTAATCTGGTCGTGGTCCCCAGTAATGTGGATATCGCAACCACTGAAGCTCTGGAGTTAGCAAAGCAAGTGGACCCCGATGGAGAGCGGACACTAGGTATGCAATAATTTCCTGTTTGTACACCTGTGATAACTGTATAGAGGTTCCCCTGCACATATACTTACCAGGGATGTGCAATGAGGTCCGTGGCAGGTGAGGCACCCCCTCGGCCTGCCTCCGCCCGACCCCAGGCCCAGTCACTGAACTATGTGTGGAGGGAGGAAGTTGCTCCCTCTCCCTCATGTGCTCGTCACTGATGAGGCATCTAGATGGATGCCGTCAGTGTTTGTTTGTTTTTTTTCGATTGGACAGCTTGGACCAATGGCACTTTGACATTGGTCCAAACCATCCACAGAGCTCAAGCCTCTAACTCCAAGTCAGGGGCTGTTGTGGTTCGGACCTCAGTGTGTTAGATTACACACAGCAGTGTGGAAGCCTGCTGCTGTGTAAACTAACATGGCTGTCAAACGTTGGATGAAGCAATGCCTGTAATTACCAGTTGGCGCTCCATCCATGACAGGTTACACCGCAGGCAGGCTTGAAGCTGAAAGCTTTTACTTCCAGTTCAATAGTGACAGGTGAGGCTCTGCCTCACCTGCCTCCCCAGACAGCACATTCCTGGTACTTAACCTGCTTTATGGCATAGATCTCTCTCTCTTCTGTTTCTCATCTGTCATTCAGGAACCTCAGATACACTGAAGCTGTAACTGTCTCTGTTATTAGAAATGGCAGATGAGAGGGAGACAAACTACAGCAGTTGTATAGAATCAGCAGTTAGTGCTATCAGCTAAATGGGTATATCTGTAAAAAATAAGTCATGGCGAATGGACTTCCTGTATTTGTCTTAAAGACGTTTCACTGGACATCCGACCAGCTTTCTCAATTCAGAATGACTTGTTCAAACATTGTCTAGGAGGTGTGACGTGGATTAATGAGAACCTTCACAGACAGCTAAATGGGTGGTTAGGTGTGCGGCTACCATGAGCTCTGTTTAAAAACAATGGCGCTGTTATTGCCTGTACTTCACCCTCCTAATACTTTATCTAGACAAAAGTTAAATCGTATTTAACCCCAAACATTTCTATTGCGGCTTACCAGCCCTTAGATGTGGCGACTGCATTCGCTTTCTTTTTCAGGCCATGAACATTTTTAGCAGGTCCAGATAACACCTTCTGATCTTGCCAGATATGCCGTGTCCTTGTCACTTCCTGTGAGCTGAAACGTCAGCGTAAACCATGTTATCTCTCTTTTATAAACTACTTGTCCCATGAATCCACCAATTAATGGAGATGTACAAAAGCACTCATGTTTTGAAGCCCAGCCTGTGTGACAATCATGGCTCCCTGAGTAGATATATTGGAGAAATGAGTGTAGTGAATGAAGTGATAGGAAGTGTATTTGCAGCATTTCCAGGTGAAAATGAAGGGGAAGAAAGCCTGAAAAAAGAAAACTAATGCAGCCACCACATCTAAGGACCTGTAAGCTACAATATACAAAATTTTTGTCTTTAAAGAAGAACTTTGGGTAGTTTAATGCCCTACCGGTATATAGTTTGCCCATGGCACAAATAAAACAAAGATCACCTGGTGCCATCTAGTGGTTAGTTACCAGAAGGCACAGAATCACCTTACATTATCTGACAACAAAGTAACGCTAATCGGCTTGACATAGGTCACCAGTGATGAGATATCTTCCTGTATTTCACAGGGATCCTGACTAAGCCGGATTTGGTTGACAAGGGAGCAGAAAAGGAGGTTGTAGGTGTGGTAAGAAACTTGGTGTACCCGCTTAAGAAAGGCTACAGGATCGTGAAGTGTCGAGGGCAGAGTGAAATCCAGAACAATCTTTCCCTGCAGGATGCCATAAACAACGAGAGAGCTTTCTTTGAAAACCAAGAAGAGTTCAGGTATTGTTGCTGACCTCCCGGCTGCCCCTGTATTGATGGGACTGTCCTTATTTTTGTAACCCTGAACAAGCAGAACACCCTTAAATTGGATGTATAGCCAGAACTTTTTTTTTAGTTTTGGAAAGAGTGGGGAAGGGATATCTGCTTGTCCTGGAGACCACCAGGACTGAAAGTGAGAGAGAATCCAGGGTTTTCAGTTGCCAATGGTATGAGAAATCTGTCAATGGGGGCACTGCAGGTGACAACGTCTAAAAGGGGATTTTTGTTACTTTGGAGAGATTTCCTCCCACTTCCTGTTGTAACTACAGGACAGGAAGTAAAAGGAAATTTCTGCAATGGGACACAGGTAGAAGGGCAGTGGATTTAACCATGATCTACTCCGTCCAAAATGAAAAAAAGTTTTTTGGCTTTAGTTACATTACAATCTATCTCAATCAACATTGCTATTTTTTTTATTCTCTCCAGAGTTCTCCTACAAGAAGGTTATGCTACAGTCCCAACTCTGGCGGAAAAGCTCACAGTGGAACTGGTGGAGCATATTCATGTAAGTTGTCTGCTTGCAATAGTAAATCTGATGGTGTACATCCAAAGTGTGACAATCAGCCACAAAGATAGCCTCCTTTCTGCAAGTTGCTTTTTTTAAAAAAATGTTGTGGCAGAACCACACCTTCCCCATTATGGCAAAGTGGACTTGGCATAGAAATGCTGCAGTGTGCATGGACTGATTGAGCGGCTGACAGTTTTCCTTTGCTTGGTATGCACATACATTTAGCTGTTCTGTGCAAGCTCACAATTCTCATGTCAGGGGAGGACGGGGCCGGGTAGCGGGGCATATACCTCCTGGGCCAGTGCTAATAAAATATGTTGGGCTGGTGGCCCCTAGACTAGGGGACATGATTAACCCTTCAGACCTTTCATTAATCACGGTGGAACTTGGAGTTAGCAACACATGTGGACCAGGGGCAGGCAACCTCAGCCCTCCAGCTGTGCTTTAACCACAAATCCCATCATCCCTCTGCCTCTGGGCATCATGCCTGTGGCTGTCCGAGTCTTGCAATGCCTATGGGACTTGTAGGTCCGTAACCAGGCCCGGATTCCCCCCAAGGCCACCGAGGCCCGGCCTCGGGGCGGCAGGGCACAGAGGGGCGGCAGCGGTGTCCTTGTGGGGAAGTTCCGGGCGTCGGGCAGTAAGTTGCCCTCTCTAAATTTAGTCCTGCTTTGTACAAGCAGGACTAAATGTAGTGTGAGGCAGCCGATTGTCCGTTTACATGTGAACTCGGCGATGTTGCCAAGATCACATGTAAACAGTCTGCAGCCTCCTCCCCTCCCCCCTGCACTTACCTCTCTCCTCTGGCTCCGTTCTCCGGACTCCGCCGCCGAGTCCGTCTCCTCACTGCAGTAACCCTGCCGCTCCGTGTAGACAGTGAGAGGGGAGAGCTGTGCTCTTCCCCTCTCACCTGTCACAGGAGTTCCAGCACAGTGCTGTGCTAGAACTCCTGTATTGGAGGTGACAGGGTCAATAAAGAGAACCTGTCACCTCCAATTGCTATCACACAGGGGATTGTTTTCTTCTGTGTGATAGCAATAAAGTTAGGTGAAAAAAAAACCCTGGGAGAGTAAATCCTGCCCTGTCCATAACAGCTGGAGGGCTGGAGTTGCTTACCCCTGTGTTGTACATTACATTGCTCCCTGTTCAAACCCTTGATGACATGATGATGTGATGATTATGTGAACTGGAGCTAAAAATACCATTGGAATACATTGGACGCAGTTTTGCTCCGGGCTGTAACTGCTCTGCACCTGGAGTGCGCTTGGTGTGAACAAGGCCTTAGGCCTTGTTCACACCAAGCGCGGAGCAGGAGCGGAGCAGAGCAGTTACAAACCGGAGCAAAACTGCGTCCAATGTATTCCAATGGTATTTTTAGCTCCAGTTCACATCGCAGCATTCAGTTCCAGAGCAGGTAAAAAAACTGCAGCCGGCCCTATTTTAACTGGAATGCATGCAAACGCATCAAAAACACATGCAAACGCCTGGAACGCACTGAAAGCCCATGTTAAACTAAAACATTTTATTTTTTTTAACCAAAAACGGTCCGGAACGCATCAAAAACGTGGCACAACCCACTGCATTGCGTGTGCAGAAACTCATGCAGATCTGCTCTGCATTTGGTGTGAACAAGGCCTTAGACTTTGTTAGACGTGCAGTTTTGCATAATTTTTTAGGTTTAATGTTTGTCTCTTTTTTTCCAGAAAACATTGCCGCTCTACAGAAACAGGTCAAAACTAAACTAAAGGAAGCAGAAGACAAGCTAAAAGTAATTGGCACAGGCATCCCTGACAATGAATCGGAGAGGCTTGCTTTTCTCATAGAGGTAAGAGACACAACACTGAGAAACTAAGAACTCTCCTGATTTTTGTGTGGTTGTTCCAAACTTTGTCTGGTATTCAGCAGTTTCTTAGATATCAAACAATCCTGCTCCAGGTCTCAAGTTTGACTAAAGGACTATGGAATACTTATTTTCTCCTCTTTTCCATAACATAGGGGGAGGTGTTTTGTAGTCCTAACCCACTGGACTTCTGAACAGAAGTCAGACCAACAGGTTTTTGCATGAATATAACAAAAGGTATTCATTGGTATATATCAGGGACATGCGGTCAGGGGAGGTAGGTGGGGCAGAGCCTTGCCTAGTATTATGGAGGAAAAAGCTGTCAGCTTTAAGTCTGAAGCTGACAGCTTGTTCTCCATTCAGATCGGCTTCTATCAGGTTACACAGCAGAGAAATCCTCCCCGCTGTGTAACCTGTCATGGACGGAGTGCTGTCTGTTAATTACAGGCAGCGCTGCATCCGGCTTTTGACAGGTAGTTAGGTTACACAGCAGCGGGCTTCCCCACTGCTTGTGTAACCTAACTTGTGAGGCAAGAGCTGTCACAGCCTCTACTCTGTGTTAGAGGCGTGAGCTCTGTGGATGGTTTGGACCAATGGCAAAGGGCCATTAGTCCAAGCTGTCCAATCAAAAAAAAGGAAAAAAACCCCACTGAGGCCATTGATCTCGATGCCTCAGCAGTGACACGCAAGTAAGGGACAGGGAGGCGTCTCCCTTCCTCCTTCATACTAGCCGGGGGTTCGGTGGAATATGGGCGGGGCTTTGGTGTGCTGGGGCGGTGCTGGGTGTGCAGGGGGCGGGGCTGGGGAATGCCTCACCAAGAAGTGAAGGTACCACACGTCACTGGTATATATAACAGACCAAAGGGAGCAAATAAGAGAAGTTCATTGTTGGGGCGTATAAGCTATGGACTTTGATGGTACAACACAGTTATATAGTAGGTGAGGTTGAATAAAGACACAGGTCCATCAGGTAGCACCTATATAGTGACATACACCCCAAAACCTTTATCAAGGTACACAGGGTAAATGCCATACACCCTGTCCCTAAAGTTGGTTAGGAATCACTCACCCTCTGTGGATGCACGATCAATGCGTCCAGGGAGAGTGAGGGCTTGTTCACACTAATTACAGCTTGTTCCAACGCGGTCAGCTGCTGGAACACGCTGTATCGCATACTAAACTCCCCCCTGCATTCTGCAACTTCAAGTCAATGGCACCGCAGCCATGTCCTCCCTCCCGGCTCACAGTGCGATCGCCCGCACCAGAACACGTGGCAAATCAATGTTTACGTTCCGGTCCATTACGAATCGCCAAAAATGTTGTAAGCACTATTTTGTTGCGATTGCCTTTGACTTGAATGCACCGCCAGGCCCCCTCCCACCCCAGAAGGCAGGGGGGAGTTTAGTATGCGATACAGTGTGTTACAACAGCTAACCGCTCTGGTGTGAACAAGCCCTCAGGCCTTGCTGCTGCCCCTCGCACTGCTACAGCCACAACTGTGTAAATGTAAGCTACTGAGCAGTGTTCAGTAATTGAATTGAGAAATAATTGCTACATTGTGTTTACTATGTTTCATTCATTGGCAGGTCAAACATTGCTTAACAAATGTAAATCCATGTGAGTAAATTCACACAAACAATTCATATATTTACTTAGACTGAAAGTGATATTAAAGTCAAAAGGTTTTTATGTTGCTTGAAATGCTGATTAAATCAGTTACAATGGATGCTGGTCCCCTGAGCACTGGTCCTGATATCCTGTTTTAGGGTGACTCCTTTCCCTTGCAGGGTCCTATGGAGCCACCCTTCTGTGTGCTAGTAAGCTGTGTATGCAGGGCCGGATTTACTCTCTCTGCTGCCCCAATGCCAGGTTCCTCAATGCACCCCCTGTATGCAGGCTGCATACAAGTGATCTCGGCGACATCACCGAGATCACTTGTACAAAACAAGCAGGGGCTTCCCCGCTGTACATTTGAGCCCTGCTTGCCCAAAGCAGGGCTAAATGTAAAATACAATTACCTGCCCGGTGCCCGGAACTGCATGTCCTGGGCGTGGGAGATAGGAATTCCACACCCCTGCTGACCCTCCTATGGGGGGGCGAAAAAAAATGTTCTGCCCCGGGCGCCCATAACTCTGGTTACGCCACTGCTCCCTTGTGATCTTGCACTGGACAGGAAATTCAGGGAAGTTCATGATGATTATACAAGTTTGGGCAAAAGTTTAGAGAAATTCTTCATTGTATTGCAATTTGTGTGACATGGGTTGGTATTGTTGCCCCCAACAGAGAATTACGCAGTTTGCTCTAGAAATTGGCCGAGCCACCCAAGGTGAAGAGGTGGTCACCAACAGACATCTCAAGCTTTTTACTGAAATCCGTAAACGCTTTCATCTCTGGGAATTTCATCTGAACTCTGCAGTCAATGAATGTGAGTAATGCTGAAAATGGCCGCACTGACTTACACACAATGATGGGCAGCAAGATAGATTTAAAGTAGGGATTAGTCGATACCGTTTTTCAGTATCAAGTTCTTTTTTGGTACTCGCCGATATCGAATAACTATACTGGCATCCCGAGGTACTATGGGCTTAGCTTATCCGGAAGCCGGTATTCTATCAAAAGAACACCGGCTTCACGCTCCCTCACAACACTGCGAGGCAATCTGGTTTCCTGACCAATTGGTCAGGAAACCACGTTGCCTCGCACTGTCCTTAGGCAGCATGAAGCCGGCTTCCTAGACAATCAGGAAGGCGGGTCATAGTGTGCCGCCCAGCTACCTGATTCGCCAGGAAGCCAGGCTGCCTAGTGATAAGTGAAGCCAGCTTCCTAGCCAATGAGAAAGCCAGGAGGCGGGTCATGGCGTGCTTACTGATTGGCTAGAAAGCCGGCTCCATACTCCTTCGTGGCACTGCAGGTCAGAGGGAATCTCACTCTGACCAGAAGTTCCGGTATCAGGGTAAGTATTGGAAAATTTGGACTACTCACCCAAATGCTCAGTATTGGCACTGATACCAATATCGGTATAGGTGCATCCCTAATTTGAAGTGAACCTTTTGTGAATAGCCCTGTTAGTGATAGAGTGGGCTCTGTTTCCCATTGCAACCAATTATATCTTGCTTTTATATTGCTAATAATTGATATAAGAATAATAGGTACAGCCTGATTGGTTGTGGGTGACATTCCCGCATTCATGGTACTCGTGCACGTTGTGGTTCAGCCGCCTTCACTCTGGATGGTTCTGTAATTGTCCCTTGTTATTTCAGTTCCTAAGGAAATAAAGAAGGACATCAATGTCTATGAGAATCAGTATCGCGGGCGGGAGATGATCGGATTCATCAGCTTCAAAACATTTGAAAATATCGCAAGGAAGCAAATTCTGGAATTTGAAGATCCAGCAGTTATAAAGCTGAATGACATCACAGGTACAAAGTCCTACACGGGTGATCAGAGGCCATAGCTTTGTGTGATCCTTTCATATCTGCCAACCTCCTTACAAGGGGGCATTCTCTAGAGTTATCCCTTCATGCTGAACTCCAGGCAGATATAAAATATGCAAATCAATGCAGATCTGTATTCATAAATACATTATTATATTTATTTTGTTTGAAGCAAGCAATGTAAGTTGCTGAATCTGACCTGGTATCAGCCTCCTGCAATCCCCTGTACAGAAAAGCTCAGACCGGGAGAGGGAGAAGCAGCACAAGGAGCCAATGAGGTGTGCTGCAGTACTCATGGGAGATACTCATGAGAGGACAGAGCAGAGTGAGGGAGAGATAAGCTCATCGGTGTACTGCTTCTCCTTTCACTGTTTATTCTCAGGCTGGGGGAGGGACTAGACCTGTAAGAGTTACTTAACTGCAGCAGAAAAAAGGGTTGTGCTGTCTCTGGCAGTGCTGTTTAAATCCCTGGAGTGAATGGACAGAAATTCAAATCCAGTGGCAGGTAAAACAGTCCCATTTGTGTATTTCCGCTGGATATTTGTGTTTGCCAATCTGCCTAATTTTACCTTAAGGGGGTTCTAAACCCTCCAGTTTTTTGCCTATATCTACTGCTAGCAAGCAGTAGATATAGGCAAGAAGTTTAAAAAAAAAAGCTTGAACTAGTTTTAAACTTACCTCGTTATCACTGCTCGCTCCCGCGCCGAGAATCAGGAAGTGATCGTACGGCCGCAAAGGATCTTGGGGCGCAGTTCCGATTCTCGGCCGGGAGACGAGCAGAGACGCAAGGTAAGTCTATGGACGCGTGCACCCGCTTGCAGACACCGCTGGATCGGAAGGACAGAGCAGTCAGCGCTGGATCGGAGAGCCGCGGCACCGCTGGAGTGACACATGAAAACATGGGGAAAGAAGAAGAAGATCAGAATAAGAGACATAATTTAAGGTAAGTGCTGACATTTACATGGGGGGAGGGGAACATTTTTTTGGCTTTAATGTCACATTAAAATCTCCCCTTTTCTGCATGTTTTATTGAATTCTTCTAAGCTGAACTTCGGTCAAACAGCTAAACACACAGAGGAAATATATATGAAAGCTGTTTTCACCTACCAAGGGATTTGTATGTCTTTCTATCCAGTTCTGAGATGTACAAACCTCTGCCACGCGGCACAGTCAGGCGGGTGATCTTTTTTTTTTTTTCATACCACATTTAGACATTACAGCTTGATCACCTCTTCACCCTGCCTGTGATTAAACAGTGATGGAGCAGCAGCAGACCGATGTGATCATCTCTCTCCACTCATCATCTCCTGCAACACACCTGATTAGCTCCTAGTGCTACCCCCTCCCTCTCCCAGTCTGAATGCTGCTGTGCTGATACCTTTCCAAGTTGAAGTACTAATTGCATTCAATGATACATTGTTTAAAGTGATATTATGAAGTGATGGTGAACCTTTCTGAGCCCTTTGCGGCTCTCAGGTGGGCTCTGCCGGCTCTCAGGGGGTCTGTACAGGCTCTCAGGGGGGCTGTGTGGTTCTCAGGGGGGTTCTGAGGGCTTTCAGGTGGTCTGTCTGGGCTCTCAGAGGGTCTATGTGGCTCTGAGGTGATCTGTACAGGCTCTCAGGTGGGCACTGTGGGCTCTCAGGTGCTCTGTATGGGCTCTCAGGGGTGCTGTGTGGCTCTCAGGGGGGCTGTGTGCCTCTGAGGTGCTGTGTATGGGCTCTCGGGGGGGTTGTGTTGCTCTCAGAGAGAATGCGGCTCTCAGGTGGGCACTGCGGGCTCTCAGGTGGTCTGTACAGGCTCTTAGAGGTGCTGTGTGGCTCTCAGGTGGGCTCTGCGGGCTCTCAGGTGGGTTGCACATGCTCTCAGAGGGGGCTGTGCGGCTCTTGGGGGGCTACACAGGTCTCACCGGGGTCCGGAGCGTCTGAAGGGCAGTTGCGGCTCTCTAATTAGACGACCGCTCGCTGGGGCTCTAGGGGCCCTAATGAGGAGCAAGCTGCCATCTAAAAAGCCTGATTTGAGGGCTGCCGTTGTCTGATTGCTGCTGTCCCCGGATCGTCTCCGTATGCAAGCATATTTTCAATGTGTGATTGAGTTGTCCACCCCCCACCCCCCCCCCACCCAGCTGAAAGCGATGCAGGTCACAAAATCTCTACACTCTGTGCCCGCAATCAGATCCCCTCTATGTACCGCCCACGACCCACTGTCTCTGTGCACCCTCCAATCCCCACTGCTCTCTCTCAGCCCCTACTGGCAGATGCAGTGGTTTGTGGAGAGGATCATATTGCTTGCATGCAGTGGGGAGGATCAGATCTCTCCAGAATGGCAACCAGGGAGGTGCTGTGCACCCTGGGGGTGGCACCCCAGAAGTGCCAGAAAATCACTATGAGTTTGGGACTCCACTGTGATTCACTGTCACTAGGTCACAGCACCTAAAATCTTTATCTGCACTGCGCATCTTGAGCAGGCCTTTTGGCTAGCTTGGAGCAATTTTTTTATCTTGGCCAGAAGGCCTGCCATGTCCTTACACTGGCACTTTATTTATTTTTTTAAGCACTTTTTATGCACAAGAGCACTTTTGACCCTGCAGAAGACTGAGGGAGTGGGTACCTTCTGGGGCCGCCCTGATTTCGTTAGGGGAGAGGTTCTGTGGCCTCTATAGGTTTTCTTTACTTTCCCCCACTTGGGGGTCTCTCTTTAGGAGAGTCCCACCTAGTACTTGGTAGACCTGTTTCGACAGGTCCCTAAGGATTGGGGTCCGCCTTGCTTTGGCTAGGTGGATTTGGGTTGCCTTGCCTTGCCCCTGTCAGGAGCATTTCCCTCGGAGGGGTTCAGGGATTAGTAGCCCTTCCTCTTTTGGAGGAGGACCAAAAGCACCCTTGTACACTTTTCAGTGTGTTGTGATTTCATGATTCACTTTTTTTGTTCACAGGGGTGAAACTTGGGAGATCAGTAAACATATTTCCCTTGCTTGCTGTTAATAACTGGGTATTGTTTGTGGCAAGAAGATGCACAGTCTGGGTTGCCTTGGAAATGCAAAGAGGTCTACGGTGTTAGCTCTGAGAACCAATACTACAGGGAAAGTAGGAGTATCTAAGTGTGCTGAAAGAATCCCAGTCTATGGACTATTACTGCCATTTTGGATAAGCCTGATAAATAATAATGGGGGTTTCCAGCCTGTGACCCAGGGCATGATGTAGAAGATGCAGGTGATTGGGCTCCAGGTACCAGGGTCTAGAAATGGCATCTCAAGGTCAAGTTCCTCTAACTCATTGTGTATTTTACTTTTTCCAGAGCTCATCCGATCATCCTTCAGTAATATCGCTTCAAATCACTTTTTACAATTTCCCAATCTCTACAGAAGTGCCAAGGTAAGTCTTATGTCTGACCCTTCTCCCTCACCAACATATCATTTTATAACTATAGCCAATAAAGCACCGCGGCAGACAAACATTTTTGTGTATGCACTGTAAACCCAAGGGCCAGATTCACACCTCCGCCCTGCGGTAATTCAGATAACATGCATGCGGTGCCATGCATTTTTACTGGCAACCCAACACACTAAGTACACGTATCTACATGGTAGCACAACGCATCGCAGCACACAGTAGTACAGTGCATTTTAAAAAAAGGGTCACCTGTGATTTTAGACAAGTTGGGGTGCTTTGGCATTGGTTTTAAATAGGATGCCTTAATTAAATAGGCTGCCTTAAAGGCTGCACATTGTTGCACAACATATCGTAGGATACTGCATGTGCATTAATGCACCGCCAAGATATAAATGTTCCACTCACCTCATAGTTCTAGCCGACCTGTGACAATGAGACTGTCACAGGTCGGCTCAGTAGATCGGGAGTTGAGCGAACACATACCGGGTTCGCTCGCCTCTCGATCCTGTCACGGCTCTCTGTCGTGACAGGGGGAGGGGCTGGATTCCCCTCTCCCCGCTCCCATCTGACAGCGCTGACTGGCGAAACGGACGGGGGAGGGGGCCGGTACAGCTGGCTCTGCCTCTAGATAGGCAGAGCCAGATGTCACTCACGCAGCTGTGCGGATCTCGATGTCGAGGTCGGGATCCGCTCCGGCTGTGGCATCTCAGTATACAGCTACAGCTCGCGGTATACTGAGCTTAGGGTAACGGGAGGACGCTAGTTTGTGTCCTCCCGTTACCCTAAGGAGAACTATGGGGAAAAACACTGACCCCATAGTTCTCCTTTAACCTATTTTTCAGTATGCTTGCCGTCATGCCCCATTGTATACAGTTTTCTTAAGCAAATCATCTTTTGAGAATATTTTGCAAAGCATTGCAAAGAGATCCTGTTGCAGGCTGGCAATGCTAAGCTGCTGCCAACTTTAAATTAGCAGCAGTGTTGTCAGCCTGCATTTCATTCTCCTTCAATTTGCTAGGAGGCTGCATAACAGGTCCTTCAGATAGGCAGCTCAAAGGAGCGCTCATGGCAGGCTGACAACACTGCTATTTTTTAGATGCACTAGCTTAAAGGAGAATTATGAGGCGAGAATTATGAATGGCAATTATGAATTATGTGTCCTCCCGTTACCCTTAGGAGAACTATGGGGAAAAGCCTTAACCCCATAGTTCTCCTTTAATGATCTATTTAAAACCAATTCACAGATTTTCTTATCAGGTCGAATGTATGTAATGTAATACTGCAATTTGGCCACTAGATGGTATTGAAAAGCATAAGAAATAAGTATTTCCTGTGCTCCTCAGCAATTGTATTTTGTAATGTATTGTTGGAGCAAAGGAAAATCCTTTATAAGCAAGGAGTTACACTGTAGCTTGTGCAGGGCTATGCCCTCCTTCACCATGTGCGACAGCGCTCATTGGCCAACATGGAGTGAGTCACATTCTCTTCCATACTGGGTATATCCTACGTCAGCGGCCGATGAGAAGAGAGAACAGAAGCGAGCAATTGCCGCGGCGGTAGTGTCCCATCTCTGGTCTCGCAGTGGAAATTTTGAGGCCTGTCCTACGGTATATCCTACGGCATCCAGCGAGTGATGGAAATTTATGGATAAGCTGCTGGGAAGGGGGACAATTTTTTTTTTTTAAGGCTTGCATAGTAGATAACAGTTTGAAATATACTGAGGGAATTGGGAAGAAAAAATTTTAAATGATTTCAGCCGATATACGGCTGAAACCAGCCGTACCAGCCTGAAGTGAATAGCCGAACAGTGTTCGGCTCACTTCACTTCAAGTCGGTCTTTCACTCGGCTGCCTATGGCAGCTTAGTGAATAGACCTCATAGTTAGACATACTCAGGCAACAAGACAAGGAAAAAAAGCCCACTGTGTGTGTTATGTTTGTATGTTCACATTTCCCATTCTGATTTCTGTGTGTCTAGAATAAGTTTCGTGTTTCTGTGGGTTCATCTTTTAATTTTTTCTAATCTTGCTTGTTTAAGGGTAAAATTGAGAATATCTGTAGCGTGCAGCAAAAGGAGGCCGAGAAAGCCATCCGGACTCAGTTCAAAATAGAAAGAATAATTTATTGCCAGGACACCCTTTATGGTGCATCCCTTAAGGAGGCCAGAGAAGAGGCCACAAATCCGACTTTGCTGGTAAATCAGCCCATAATTTCCCACCAGGTTGGATTTACTACATTTTCAAGTTCCTTTGGGGGTACCCAGGTGCAACCTGTAACAAAGCCCAGCCAGCTGCAGTTATCAATTGATGAAATGTCCTACCATATCCAGGCATATTTCAAGGTGAGTCTGCTGTGCATGGTAAAGGTCCTTCTAAACTTTTAAAGAACCAATCACAATTTGGCTCATGCAGGAATTACATTTTGGCGTGATGGTTATAATTCTGCAGGGATACCTAATAAAATATGTACATTTACCCCCTTATTTTGCTTTCCTTAGTTTGTCTGAGGGTGACATTTGGAGCCAAAGCTGGCCATATGCAATACAATTGCCCTAAAGTCACACTAAACTCAGAAGTTAAATCATAAAAATGCATTCACATATCTTAACTACTAACAAAAATGTCGTTTCTTTGTGTATTACTCGGCTGTAGATCCTCAGATCATCTTTGGATTTGTCCTGACACTGTCCTTCTTTCTGGAGGGTGGCTACTTTTGTTCCCCATAGTCCCTGTGATGGAATACAATCTCAATATAAATAAGTAAACTAAAGGTGAAATTATAATCCATCACAGGAGCGAGCTTGGAGCGGTGGCTACTTTACAACACACAGGGACCATGGAGAACAAAAGTAGCCACCCTCCAGAAGGAAGGACAGTGTCAGCACCAATTCAGAGATGATCTGAGGATCTGCAGCCTAGTGACTCCTGAGTTTAGTGTTTAGTTTAGTGTTTAGGAGTTGTAAAGTCCCAGCATATCCTCTCCTATTCTAACATCAGCATTGTAATAGGAATACATACTAGAGTTGTTTTTGATAATGCAATCAAACCTTGCTTTAAAAAAAAAAATCCCTTTCATGTAGTGAGTGCTGCCTTCCGTCTGCCCATCACTTTCACCAACCTTCTGGATTCCCAGTGTGCTTTGTGCAGGCCCACCTTTAATACTGATTGGACCCTGGGCAAACATTTTCTCGGGCCCCTCCAGCCCCTAACAGCCACGCCATGCCCCCATCACGCCCCCACCTCCTGCAACATCCTGCAACATCCTCCTCCTGCAGAGCAAATAGGAGGAAACATCAGCGAGAGACGTGACCCTGCGTGAGATGTGACCCCACGTGAGACATTATGCGGTCACGCTACTCAGTGTACAGCAGGGGCGGAGCAACACTATGCAATGCCGATCGCATAGTGAACAGAACGGTGCTGCGTGTGTATCTTTAGCAGGCTCAAGGGGCAGCTGCTTTGGGCCCCACAGCAACGACTGGGCCTGGGGCAACTGCCCGTTTTGCCCTGCGTTAAAGACGGCCCTGGCTTTGTGTCTCTTTCCCTGCTGCTTGAGTTCAGACAGCTGGCTTAGTTAGAGTAGTACATTGAGGAAAAAGATCCTATGAGCATCTTCAATAAGTTTACAAACGTCTAGATTGGTCTGGCTATTAGGAGAGACATTGAACTTGTCAAATGTCAATTTAATATAAAAATAAAAGATTTTTTTTTTTTGTAGTTCTTGACCATACCCTTTAAAGATCTGCCAACACTACACTGCCTGGCCCCAGAAAAAAGTCACGCACTATAATATTTCATTGGGACGCCTTTAGCTTTGATTACGGCATGAATTTGCAGCGGCAGAGTTTCGATAAGCTTATGCAATGTTACAACATTTATTTCCATCCAGAGCTGCATTAATATTTCCCCAAGATCTTGTAGTGATGATGGGAGAGTCAGACCACTGCATAAAATCTTATCTAACACATCCCAAAAAATCCTAATGGGGTTAAGGTCTGTATTCTGTGGTGGCCAATCCATGTGTGAAAATGATGTTTCATGCCCCCTGAGGGCTTGTTCACACCAAATGCAGACTAGATCTGCATGAGTTTATGTACATTTTTTTAGCCTGAAATGGGCTTTCAGTGGTTTCCAGGGTGTTTGCATGCGTTTGTGATGCATTTGCATGCGCTTTGGCGCGTTCCAGAGAAGAAAAAAACTAGAGCATGGTGCAGTTTTTCCACATGCTCTGGAACTGAACGCTCTGGTGTGAAATAGAGCCCAAAATATAATTGGAATACATTGGACGCAGTTTTGATCCGTTCCGTAACTGCTCTGCTCTGCATCTGCTCCATACTTGGTGTGAACTAGCCCTGAACCACTCTTTCACAATTTGATCCTGATGAATCCTGGCATTGTCATCTTGGAATACAGTATTCCCAATGTGCCATCAGAAGAAAAAATCCATTAATGGAAAAACCTGGTCATTCAGTATATCGAGGTAAGCAGCTGACCTCATTTTTTCAGGGGCCTAATGTTGCTAAATCTAGATTTGACCACCTGAAGCAACCCTAGATCATAACACTGACCCCAAGGCTTCTACGGTAGGCCAAGGGCATGATGGGTGCATCACTTCATCCGACCCTCTTCTTACTCTGATGGGCCCATCACTCTACAACAGGGTAAATCTGGACTCCTCAAACCACATGACTGTTTTTCCATTTCTCCATAGTGCAATTCTTTATGCTCCCTACCAAATTGAAGACTTTTGTTCTGATTAGCCTCACTGATGAGTGGTCTTCTTAAAGCTACACAACTGTTTAATCCCAATCCCTCGAGTTCCCTTCGTATTGTGTGGTTGGAAATACTTTTACTTTCCCTGTTAAACATAGCTATGAGTCCTATTGTTGATTTTTTTTATGATTTGATTTCATCAAACGTTTAAGTGATCTCCGCTCACATTCATTCAAGATTTTTTTTCGACCACATTTCTTCCTCAAAGTGGATGGTTCACCACTGTCCTTCCAGGTTTTAATAACGCGTTGGACAGTTCTTAACCCAATTTTAGTATTTTCAGCAATCTCCTTCGTTGTTTTCTTAGCTTTATGCAGGCCAATAATTTGACCCTTCTGAAACCATTACATCTTTCCCACAACCTCAGGATAGGTCTTCTGGCTTGGTTGTTTAAGAAATGAGAAGCTACTCACTGCATCAGTTAGTGTTACATAATTTGCCGCCAACTGAAACATATTAATCACTGCAGTAATTATCCAATGGAAGGCTCTCACCTATTTGCTTAGCTAAATCCCGGTGGTGATTTTTTGCCAGGCAGTGTATATAATGGAGGGGCCTATCTTAACAGTATATTCAATTTGTATGGGGCAGGTTCTCGTACTACATAGTTGTTGATAGATCCAGTGCCAGATTTACTCTCTGCTGCCCCAAGGCCAGGTTCCTCAATGCGCCCCCCCTTACCCGCCAAAACCCACCATGGAGAATGGAAGACCTGCAGGCTGCATACAAGTGATCGCGGTGACATTACCGAGATCACTTGTACAAAACAAGTGGCGGCTTCCCCGCTGTACATTTAGCTCTGCTTGCCCAAGCAGAATGGGGCTAAATGTAGAAAAAAAACGACTCGCCCAGCGCCCGGAACTGCATGTCCCAGGCCTCGGTTGGCCTTGTGGGAAATCTGGCCCTGGGTAGATCTAAAGTAGGTTACACAGTCAGATATATGGTGAGCTTAGTATAGAACTATGTCCTCCAATTTAAAAAAAATGTGTTGCAGCACTAAGCCCCCATTCACACTTGAAATGAAGCGCCACGTCTCGCAACGTGTTTGAGTGTTTTTGCACATAGGACAGTCGTAGGACTGCCCTACACGTGACATGCCGAAAAAACTCATGCACCTTTTGGAGTTGTGAGTGTTGTGCATTTTTGCACATTAGACGCGTTTTGGGGTGCTATTACTAATGAATGGCACCACAAGCGCGACTCTTGTTTTATGTGCTTTTGGGAACACATGCAAAATCACAGGATTATGTGCGCATTCACATGCTACACGTGTGTGGAAGGGGGGCTTAGCTATATGTGCATCCGCACTTAGTTTTCTCTTAGTGCCCCTGCAAAGTCCCACCAATCCCTATTAATCCTGCCAGTGAAGTACACTTAATGCAGCTTCCTGTGATGGGGTGTCAACGATAACGACCAAAAGTCACTCACACTCCAATGCAAATCAAAGTCAATCTCCTTTATTGACCATAATAATAATATATTGAACATAATAATAATATGTTTGATATGTGGAGGCATTCGCGGTCCCTTCCAGCACCCCCAACTTTCCAACGTGGGCTCGATTAAAACCGGTCAGGAGTGTAGTGGGACCCACTATACTTTAAGTAGTATCAACAAAGTTGCACTGCTCCTGAATTCCAAGCAGAGTTGTCACCATCATGTAGGCTGTGCCTGCTGGCACTACAGTGGGCTGTAAAAATGTTGCAGGGGGTGTGGCCTGTAACCTGTCAATCAGCAGCTGGTCACATCTAGTCTCACCCACTGCTTTCTGGATGGATAGCACTTCCTCAGTTGCTGAAACCTCCCACTGTGAGCTGCATACAAATACATCCTCCATAGGAACACCCACCCCATCAGACTGACATCCACCCATCAAGACATTTTTGATATTTGCTAACTCTTCCCAAGAGCCAGCTTGCATCAGAGTTAAGGGCTCTTGAGAAGCCCTTAAAAGCATAGAGAAGCGCAGTCTGAATTCTGTTCTGGACATTTTAAGAAACTACGACCAGATTTCATTCAGGTACATTCAGGTACATTCAGGTACATTCAGGTACTACTTTCTTTAGAGAAAATTACATTTATTGATGTAATAATAATACAGAGCTGCATTAGTTTTAGTTTTTTTTTTATATTTATCTGGAGTTTGCTCTACCAAGTACAATACAAGGGAGATAAAGTGAATGTAAACCTTTATTTGCCCCCTTTTGGTCTGTTAAGTATATCATTGAAAGAATTCTCCTATATGTGTTCTATAAATGGAAAAAATGCCTGTCGATCCTGCCAGAAAACAAATTACCTTGTATGTGCCTGTGCTCTCAGCGGTCTTGTTAATAGGGATATTGGCCCAAACCCAGAAGGAAGCCAACAGTGTGGCCCAGTCAGCTGCGGCCAGGGCATTCTCCACCCTGCATCTGCACGCAAACAAGGAGAGCGGTACCGGGGATATCATTGATCTTATATTCCATATGGCCATATTAGGTCAAAGTCCTAAACCAGATATGGCCATGTGCCCCCATAAGGTCAATGATGTCACCAGCATGCTGCCCCTTTGTTTATATGAATCTGCAGTGTGGGGAATGCACCCCAACTTCTTTCAGGAAGTGTCCGGTCTACTTATCACCCCTGCTAAGCTCACCTCAGTGAACAACTGAACATCTCCTGCCCATGTTATGGAAAGGACAGAAGGGTTGGCATTCTGTAGTCCTGTTCTAAGGTGACAACACTGATCCTATATAGCTATTAGGGATGCACCAATACCTGTATTTCGGTATCGAGTACCGATATTTTTTTCCCGGTACTCGCGATACCGAATCCCGATCCCGGAAGTCCCATTAAGCAAGCCAGGCTAAACACTCGCCACCTGGCTTCCTGATTAGCAGGGAAGCCGTCCCCATGCTTCTCGTCACTAGGTGATGAGAAAGCATGAAGCCGGCTTTCTGGCCAATCAGGAAGCCGGTGCCGTGTAACGATGCGGTGCCCGGCTCCCTGATTGGCCAGGAAGCCGGCTCCCTTGTCCATGCTCCCTTGTCATGAGCTGACGAGGGAGCATGAACCTGGCTTTCCAGTCAATCAGAAAGCCGGGCGACGTGTCATTACACGGTGCCCAGCTACCTGATTGACCAGCTGCCTGACAAATCAGGAAGCCAGGCAGCAAGTCATTACACGCTGCCCGGCTTCCTGATTGGCCGGGAAGCCGGCTCCATGCTCCCTTGTCACAAGTGACGAGGGAGCATGGAGTCGGCTTCCCGGTCAGTCGGGAAGCCGGTTAACGTGTAATGACTCGCTGCCTGACTTCCTGATACCGGAAGTATCGGGCTAGGCATCGAAGTATTTGGGCAAGTATGAGTACTCGCCCCCAAATACTCAGCACCGATACTAGTATCGGTATCGGTGCATCCCTAATAGATATAGTAGGATGAGTGAGCATTGTCACCCTGTGCAGGAAGTGTGATACTGGCAGGATAACCCGGTGAAACGAAAGGAGAAAAAGCCTGAAAAATAAAAACGAATGCAGCCACCTCATCTAAGGAAAAGCAAGGTCCAATATAGGACATTTTGGTTCTTGGGTTTAGATACACTTTAAGAGGGCTGCACTCTTCCTAAAAATACCTTTGACATCCATGTCCTATCTCCTCACTCATTTTCTGTCTTCTAGAATGCAACGACTCGCCTGGCCAATCAAATCCCTCTTATGATCCAGCATTACGTCTTGTACGAGTTCGCTCAGCAGCTTCAGGCTCAGATGATGCAGCTGATCCAGGATAAAGGGATTCTGGATGTGCTCCTACAAGAGAAGCATGACTTGAGAAGAGAGAGGAAGAACTTAAAGGACAGCATCAAACGTCTAAATGCTGCCCGAGTGCGGCTGGCAGGGTTCGCCGTCTAGAACTTGCTTTCTTATTATAAAGAGGTCCTTGTACCATCACATAAACCTCCGGGACCATCATAAATATGAATCTGTTACAATAGAATAGAAAGCACCACAATACATATTAAGCACCTTAGGTTGCAGTAACAAGCTCACAGTTTATTAGCAGGCACAGAAGGACCTATTGAAGGTTGGCCACTTACAAAACAAGTCTGCATCCCATGATGAAATTCTGGGACCTAACTGACCAATCAGGAGGCCCGATCATTAGCACACTAAAAGTCAGCAGGGTCATGTGCTGATGTGCAACTTGTCATTATCTTGGCTTATTATTGCATGTAAGTCTTTTCGTGATGCATTGTTTTCACTATGCAATAAACTTCTTATTTGCTCCCATTCGGTTTGTTGTACCATATGTATGTACCATAGCAAGCTTTGTTAAATGTGTCTGATAAGTGCAAAAAAAAAAATCCTGCCAGAAATCCAGTGAGCAGATAACTTCCTGTACACACTGCTGCCTCTGCTGCATGGTTATCAGTTAGCACTGTTGTCAACACCACCCAGCTCTGTGTGCTGCACAACACCTTCTGCCTAGGGATGTCCCGATACCGATGCTAGCATCGGAATCGGGCCCGATACTGGGCATTTTGACAAGTACTTGTACTTGTCAAAATGCCCCGAATGCCCCGATGCCTAGCGCCGAAGCTTGCACTTTTTTTTTTTACTGTCCGGGGGGTCCTTTTTACCGTCCTCTGGACAGGCTGGAGGAGCGTTGCGTCACTGCTGTGGGCGGCGCTCCAGGTGGGGTCCTAATGTGGTTGGTCAGCGACTGCCCAGAGGACTTCGCCCACAACAGTGACGCGACGCTCAGCGCCGCTGACGTCCGTGGGGTCCTTTTTACCGTCCTCTGGGCAGGCTGGAGGAGCGTCGGGTCACTGCTGTTGGGGCGCTCCAGGTGGGGTCCTAATGTGGTTGGCCAGCGACTGCCCAGAGGATTCCGCCTGTAGCTCCGCCCACAACAGTGACGCTCAGCCGCTCAGCGCCGCTGACGTCCTCGAAAAGGAAAAAAAAAGCATTCGCCACCTCGTGAGACACCTCCATTGAACAGGCAAGAGTGAGTAAGGGCCAGTCAGTAGTTGCTCACGATAAGGGGTTCTCACTGTCCCTATGTGTATGCACCATGGGTATCAGTACCGTCAAGCACCCAGGGCACATGTCCACATCTGTCCCTACTTCTGCCTATGCTTTGAAGATGAGGAGTGGAGAGGTGTTTTGTAGTTCGTGGCGGGAGCACACGCATTGTGGACAGACTGCGCGTGCGTGCCCATTAAGTACTGTCAGGTGCTGGCCTTGATGGGGGAGGTTCCCAGCACACACTGTCCGCCCATTCCCTCTCATCATCTCGGCAACCGGGGGATGGTCCTAGGTTCCCCTGGATATAAATCCCAGTCAGAGCCCTGGGTTGTTGCTGAGTTATTCTACCTATATGGTGTGATCACCCAGCCCCTTGTGGTTGCAAGTGCTGCCATTCCTGACCCCTTATCTGGATTCCCGGTTACTGACCCTTTGGCCTGCCTTCCCGTTTTTGCACCTAGCCGCGTGCCTCGACCCGGACTGGACTTGATTGCGCTTTTGGATTCCCCTCTTGTACCTTGATTCGGACCTCCAGTGGGTTCTGCTCACGGCTCAGCTGTACCCCCTGACACAGTCGGGCCCTCGGTCCATGACCGAGTGCCCGACTTTTTAGAGGGAGTGACACTAAAATGATTGTTAGTCATTTTGGTGTCACCCCTCCGCACCCCCCGTATGACACCACTGCCTGTGCCTACAGCCCCATAGCTGTATATCTGCAGTGTAAGATCTAAGGTGTTGCTGCCTCTGACTTCTAGTCTTACTAGATTTGGAGTGAGATTTGGTGATGACCCTAGTGTGCTGCTCACTTCTCCTTGCTGGAGGCTCTGACACGAGGAAGTAAAAACCCTGCTTTTACCAAAATGGCCACCTCCATTACAGGCACAGTGAAGAACAAGGCACAATAAGTCAATAATGGACAAAGATCAGCTGCAGGGGTTCTGCAAGAGGGGGAAAGCAGCGATATGCGCACATAATTGTCCTTTTATGATCCATGTGACCCACAGTCACCTTTCATTTGGTCTTTGTCCATACACCAACTCGGTACCTCACTTCCCACTGCATTCCACCTGTAGGGGAAAGCATGATTATCCTCTATGTGGCCCTATCTAGGGCCACGCACTCCACCTACTCTCCCCAATGTCACCACACCTGTTTCCACCCCTGCGAATTGCTGGGAGGGAATACATTCCTTCCTCCTTAATCAGGGGACATCCCGGGTGATTTCCAAGGCAGGGAGCCTTGAGTTGACAAGGCTGAAGAACTAGTCCAGTTCAAAGTTACTAATAGTTGGTATTCTATGACCTTCATAAAGATGATTCTCATTTATTTATCAATTTTGCTCATTTGTACAGCAACAATAGATGATAGATTGCATGTTTTTTTTTTTCTGGAAGGTTGGGAGGGTACTGTATGGTTCAGCACCCCCTTCTGAAAACAAAAAGAAGTATATCAGGACACAACTCATTAAGTTAGTCCGCACATTTATAAAATAGCTATTTGCATTTTTGCTTTTCAATGCTAAAGGAGTCCATCTATCGATTTTTGTTCGGAAATCGTCCAGGAATGGTCTTTCGAGCGATAATCGATCAGTTGATGGGACACCAACGGTTTTAATTACTGTACTTTTGGCCGAATTTCCTCGATCTGTCAGGCTGGAAAACTTTTTTGAATCGTGTGAAAAGTGATGGATTAGTCAGACAAAAGTCAGTTAGTATTGCTTGTTAGCCCCTGTGTGATAGCAATAAAGTTAAGTGGAAAAAAAGTGATAAAAATAAAAAAATTTATAATCAAAATCAAAAAATGAAAAAAGGGCCTCAGTCATGAAGGGGTTAAACCATCCCTGTCGAGTGAGTGCTGCCACCATTCCACTTTGTGCCATATTGTGGTAGCCAGGCAGCAGCAATCTCTAACACGCACAATGTGCATTGAACGGTAAGTTTACTTTCCCAATTCATTTGGGAAAATGGAATTACCACTAAAATTGCTCCCTCCCCACACTTATTTTTCGGCAAACAGTTCTTCCTCTCTGCCAGTACAGTTGTACTATACGTACCTGGTACTGCTTTCCAGCGCAGCCCTGCTCTATGGATTTTGAACTTTACTCCCAAATTGTGAGCACTCATTGAATGCTGTGAAAAACTGCACTGCAATAGCCCTCACACTTTATGGCAAGCAGCAACAATTTTGTGGTGACACAATTTCAGATGAGCGGTGCGGATTATGAGCGGTATGGAATTTATATGACTAGAAAATGACAATACTCTATAATCATATGTCTGGGAAGTTTCTCATTCACAGTTTCACACACATATACTGATAAATAAAAATATGTTTATTTGGAATCCTGTTTCATCCTCTGGAGCATAGAAGAGGACAGAGAGCAGAGCGCAGCCAGCACAGCATGAAAGATTGTGAAGAAAACTGGAGCTTTGAGGGAGGCGGGGCTATGGAGATTCAGATGCTGCTCTAGGGAGGAGGAGCGGTTACAGAGATAGCCGAGCAGCAAAGGTAACACACATCGATGGGGGAACAGCATTTGACACATCACTGTAGCTCACCTCCGTGTGTCTTGCCCATGTTAAAGATGACCGCCGCATTATGAACCTTATTAAAGATGGCCGCCGCATTGTAAACCTTATTAAAGATGGCCGACGGATTGTAAACCTTATTAAAGATGGCCGCCGCATTGTAAACCATTTTAAAGATGGCCGCCGCATTATAAACCAATGAGGCGATCTTTAAAAGAGAAATGCACACAGGAAGCCCAAGGGAGGACTAACTACTGACCATGTGCTAGAGGAGAGCTACTTATGCAGTGCCAGCAAGTAATTAGATTGGGGGTGGGGGGCATGGAGATGGGTCTGGGTGCCCCATGTATTATGCAGTCTGTGTATGTGTAATGTGTGTATAATACGCAGTGCACTGTTTGTGTTATGTCCTGTGCCTTGCGCAGTGTGTATTGTGCCCTGTGTTTTGTGCTGTGTGTGATATGCTGTGTGTCTTCTGCTCTGTGTGTGTAATGTCCTATGTGTGATATGCTGTGTGCTTGTGTATGCCCAAACACGGGACCTCCCAGATGTGTGGTAGTGAAGGGGTTTCACATGACCTTGGCACCCGATCGGCACCCCATACATGCGATCGGCCGGCTCTACAGCCGGCGGATCGCATGTATATTAACGGGCATCGCTGCCCGTTTTTAAATACCGGCATTTCCCGCGCGCGCCTGACGCGCCAAGGGGGCGTGTCTGAGCAGACGTCTAGAGACGCCCGCTCAGATCGAGAGAGCTCCTGGTCGTCTGTTTTTTTACTACGGCCGGCCCGGAGGTAGTTAAATTTCGCGCGCCTGTGAAATCGCAGAAAACAACCACACCCTAAATTGGCCCTAAAACTATTGCTCTCATTCCGACGTTCGCGGCGATATGCAACATGTGCGGCACAATAGGCAGAATCATCGTTTTCGCACGTTGGCATACCCGACGCATGTTTGCGTGTGCATGTGGGGGGGTCGGGGGACTTTAAAAAATGTTTTGTGTTCTTTTGGGAGAAGGACCCTCTTACATTGGTGGTCATTGGGAGAAGGACCCTCTTACATTGGTGGTCATTGGGAGAAGGACCCTCTTACAGTGATGGTCATTGGGAGAAGGACCCTGTTACATTGGGGGTCATTGGGAGAAGGACCCTGTTACATTGGTGGTCATTGGGAGAAGGACCCTCTTACAGTGATGGTCATTGGGAGAAGGTCTGTCTTACATTGGTGGCCATTGGGAGAAGGACCTTCTGACATTGGTCGTCATTGGGAGAAGGATCCTCTTATATTGGTCGTCATTGGGAGAAGGACTCTCTTACATTGGTCGTCATTAGGAGAAGGACTCTCTTACATTGGTCGTCATTGGGAGAAGGATCCTCTTTCATTGGGGGAAGGACCCTCTTACATTGGGAAAATGTCCCCTTTATTATTAGGTTCATTGGGAAAAGGTCACCTTTACACTGGTGCTCAGTGGGGAGAGTGCCCCGTACAGATAGCTAAATAAATCATTGGTGTCGGGGATTATTTATGTGAGAAATGGAAATTGCTAATTGCTCAATAAACTCCTAGCAACCCCTTGAGGAACCCCAGGGTTTCACAGAACCCTGGTTAAGAAAGACTGCTCGTACAGTATTTGTATATTTATACCTTATGCAACACGTAACCTTAAAAGTTTAATTTTATTTAATTTTATTTAATTGGTATACATTGTTTGTTCATTCACTATTTATTAACAAGAATCACCCACACATGATACATAATTCATAACCTATCACTTTTTATTTGATAAATTCAGATTTGATATTGTATAGACTTTAAATTGTTTACACAACCATTCACATTGAGTATTTTGAGATACACCCCTTCACTGAATGTTTGATACATTTTATATTCTTTAATAGCACTTGTCAAATCTTGATCTTAACGTCTGATTTCTTATATTCACCTTTGAAGGACGGCTAGCGCTGTACGTTTTGAGAAAATAACACGTAACCTTCGACAGCAAGATCTCTATAATGACTGTGTTATGTTATTTTCTTGAAAAAATCTGTTCAATAAAAAAGAGGCAATTTAAGAAAGACTGCTTTAGATACTGAAGTTGTTTGCATAACAAAACAAATTTGATGCTAATAACCTTTGTTCTTTTAATTTATAGGTAGGATATCCAAGATGGCTGTGATACCTGTGGGACTACTACGAGGATGTATGTCCATGCATAGATCGTTATACAGACCTTGCACCTCTAATGTGTATAGCACCTGGCCTAGCTGTTTGCACACAAACCAACACCACAAAAACTCATTACTGCATCCGACTTGGCCTTGTGCACACTATTTATACACCCCCCTCCTAAATACCTGGAGTCCATACAGGTCTCAGAGTTCACCTCTGAAAACGGGCAACCCTTGTGAAACAAGGCGTCCCTTTTCTGCTGCTACTTTGGTTCAGTCAATGCCAAAAAATGTCCAGCCTTACCTGCGACTTATGAGACTGGATAAACCTATAGGTGAGAGAGAAAACTCACACTACACATGACTTATGTAAATCAAAACCTAATCTATAAATGTTTACTAATGGAAACCTCTACTACGATACCTATATAAAGTGCCATGGCTGGTCTCTCCCTCTACTCCCCTATGCCTGTACCCTGGTGATCCTTTTCATTTTAATGGATTTCAGAACTGACCTGGAACATGTGTGCAGAACAGAAGTCCTGATGACAACAGCTGCATAATTGTTCAGAAAATATGAGTCAGAGACAGCCATGTAACTCATTTTTTAGGAAAGATGTTTAACGCGGCACATCATTTTATTCATAGCTGCAAAGTGGGAATGTAACACTCAGGGTTAGTTCACACCATAAGCAGTGCGTTCCGGTTCGATTCTTCCCGGAACGCACTGCCTCGCATTGCGGCTGGCTCACTTTTTTGCCGGGCTGGAGGGGGCGTGGCGGGCCATTGAAGTGAATGGCACCGTAGCCATGCCCTCTGGCCGCAATGGGATCGCGGTGCGATCAAAATAGTGCTTGCAGCATTTTGATCGCACTGCAGGCACAATGTGCCTTGCGAGCCCGTGTGGGCGATCTCATTGCGGCCGGAGGGCGTGGCTACGGTGCCATTCACTTCAATGGCCCGCCACGCCCCCTCCAGCCCGGCAAAAAAGTTAGTCGGCCGCAAAGTAAAACAGTGCGTTCCGGCCAGAATCGGGCCGGAACGCACTGCAACTGGTGTGAGCGGGCCCTAAATGAGAAATGTAGATGAAGAACATGCATTTGTAGCCCTGAAGCATGTTGCCCAACTGAACTTTTACAGGGTTATTCACAAAAGGGTGAAGAGTTTGGAGAAGGCAGGAGAAGGGAACAATCTAGGACAACATAGCTGAACTGGAAAGTGAGCTGAATTGGAGAATGTTTCCAAATCAGCTATTTTGGCCTTAATTGTTCTTTCCTCCTGCCTTCTCCAAACCCTTCACCCTTTTGTGAATAGCCCCCTTAGTTTCAATCTGCTAAACACATTCCAAGTGCATGAAAACAAAAGCTGTGCTAAATACTACTGTTGCTTTTCTTTAGAAAGTCACCACAGCCTGAGTAGAAAAGCCTGTCCCCTGCCAGCATGCTGCTTAGAAGGTCCCTTGCTCTGTGTGGAAGCAGTGGTCTCACTGCAGAGGTGTGACCTGGCTTCTGCTAAGTCACAGCTAGAGCTGTCCAATCATCAGGGAGCATGAGTTTTGTTAATTGAAAAGCTCTAGCTCTGACTCAGCAGGTGGAGCATATTGGACCTCTGCAGAGGGGCCACTATTTCCACAGAGAGCGAGGGTCCTTCTCTCCAGCGTCCTTACGGGGGACAGGTGTTTCTACTCTGACCGTGGCTACTTTCTAAAGAAAACTGAACAGTAAGGCTTAGCACACCTTTTGTTTTTTTATGCACTTGGAATGTGTTCACAGATTCAGACTGAAGGTTCAGTTAGGCAACATACGTCAAGGTTTTAAATGCATTGTCTTGGCAATAGTAATGGGTGGATTACTTTTTGGTGATGCCATTGAGGAGGTCCTTCAATCTCAAGAGATGCATCAAGCTGCAGCAAATTGAGTCTGGTATAGTATACAACACTAAGGGGCATAGTTCTAAACTAGTGAATGTGACTTTCACCAAACATTCACTGATAGTAAATCGGTCACAGGCATTTAAAACACATACACTCACAAAAAAGATTCAACTGTAATGAATGTTTGGCGAATGTGAGATGAACTGTCTTATAAATATACCCCAAAAGGTGAATGTCGTCATCCAATTTTAACTTGTTTTTTTTTTTTTTTATGCATTGCAGGAACTTGGCTGCTATACCTGCCCTGCACCTGGAGCATTGCCCTGGCAGCAGATCCGGGGAGCCTGCCTGACCTCTCTATGCTGGCCTTGTTTGGCACAGGAGCGATATTGATGCGGGGTGCTGGCTGCACTATTAATGACATGTGGGATAAAGATTTTGACAGAAAGGTATGCTGTATATAGACATGTCAAGGTTTGCCTAGATATAAATGTGACTGCCAAAAGTGTGCCAATGTATTAAATGGTGGACATGAGAAAGAAATGGGGAAATAAATAGGAGATTTTTGGGTGTTATTTAAAGCACCAGTCCTCGTAAAGCTAATAGTTCAGTTTTTAGTACAAGCTGGAGAGTTAAAGATGAACTCCAGGCATGTAAAAAGTTAACCCTTGCAGTGCGGCTACCCCCACACTACAAGGGTTAACTGCTCGTTTTTTTCTAGGTGCTGGAATACAAAATATATGCTCACCTGATCCTTGGTCCTGTGGTGGTGAGTGCTCACCTCTCTTCCCACCGATCTAGCTGTGGTATGTCCCTTGGCATCCTCATGTCTAATGCAGGTGAATGGACTGTATTAGACGTATATTTTTTTATTTGACTCCCCAGCAATCTGAAAGGGGTCTTAAGCTACCTGACAGGGTCCTATACCTCCTGGGAACTCTATTGGAGAGATCTCTGTGCTTAGTTCTTGGCTCTTTGGATTTTGTATGTACATGATGTTACAGCGAATGTAACAGGAGGAACACACTGAGGTGGACGGAACACTCAAAGCTCCCAGGTGGACAGGAGTAATGTCAGAAATGATGGCAGGGAGATCCCATTATTGGCATTTTAAAGACATATATAAAGCCTGATTCAGCCTAGCAGGCCCTTTAATACATTCAGAAATAACGTATTGCTGATTAGCTGACATAGGGCTAGTGCTGACAGGTTTGTGTTTTGTATCAGAACTACTTCTCTCTCCATGCTAGTCAATCGGAATACAAAAGCAGCTTGAAGAGGGTTGATGCAGCTTTGAAGAAGGTCACCACTAAGTCGCACATTCCTGTCATTCCCCAGAAGCACCTCCAATTCAAGTGGAAAGCAAGCCCAAGCCCTTTGGCATAGGCCCTTATGCTGTGTGATTTCTGCAAGAAGAATTTTGAAAAAATGAAATATGAATATTACGAGAAAATTGAATATGAATGTTTAGTATAAAGTATGAATGTATATAGTAAACTAAGCGCAGCGTGGCATAGGTGGTGCCCATTGGTAGAACTGGTTCCTCAGCAGTTCAGTAAGACTTTGGGGAGGTAAGTGTTATGGATGCACATTTTTAGTTGTGGGTGGTGATTAGTCTGGGTGAGGAGGTTTCGGGGACTCATCAGTGCAGGGGCAGAGTTCACATGTGGTAATGGGTGCACATGGGTCTGGCAGGTGTGTTTTGGGTGTTAATACTCTCATATTAGTTTTTGTAATTATTATGTTATTAAAGCACAAATGAAGTTGCCTGATTGCTCATCAGTTATACAGCAATGGCCCATACACATACAGCATCCCTATCTTTCCTATCACCCCTGGGACAGGACAGTGTGATGTAATTCTCATATGGCACTGAAGTCCTGAATTAGAGGGTGGTCTATGGAATATCGGTGCTAGGTTGGGGCAGTAGGAGGAGTAGGGTTTTAAATGTACCTCTCAGTCAGCGAAAGGGAGTGCATAAAAACATGGTGGCTGTGGGCTGGGGAAAAGAAATTCACAAATATGAATCCACCGTCTTCCTGGCAGAACACAGGGCAGAGTTTAGTATAAGGATAGGGAAACTCTGGATATCCAGCTGTGTTGAAACTACAAATTCCATCATGCATCTGCCTCTTGGAGTAATTTCCGTGGCTGCAATGCCTCATGGGATTTGTAGTTTTACAATAGCTGGAGGGCCGGAGTTGCCTTCCCCTGGATTATTGGAACATTCTAAAAAAAAAGTTGAGTTGACTATTTGGTTTGGGATAGAGTAGGGAGCTATCCCAGAGACACAACAAAAAGTGAGGGGAAATCTCCTCCTGCTGTCCATATTGATATTTGACCAGTGTGTTGCCCCCAGCCCCCCCCCCACCATTAAAAACAATATTGATGTTTCAATTAACTTTTATCAAAGGAGAAGGTCTGAAAATCCCAACCCAACAGTGACTGCAGCCAATCACCTGAAGTTAATATTCGGGCATTCTGCCATTGTCAGGATACAATAGACCAGCGGGGGAGGTGTCACCCATCTGTCAGAAAAATTAGGATGAATTCCCCCAACAGGGAACGAGACATCAATAGAAGTTGAGAGGTTCTACCACTCTGAAACTAAAAAGCAATGTTTGGCTTTACATACACTTGTAAGTGCTTCCAGTGCTAAGATATGTCTTATTTTAGGATAGTTTACAGCCTCAGCCGTTGGTTATAAGAGCCTCCAAATATGATTTCTTTTTTGTCTGAAGGTGGAGAGAACGGCAAGTCGGCCCATTGCAGTGGGTGACATCTCACAGTTCCAGTCCTTGGTTTTCCTTGGCGGTCAGCTGAGCTTGGCTTTATGTGTACTTTTGTGTCTAAATATCTACAGGTGAGTTGACCTGAAAATGGGAGATTGTACATTCTGAATATTGAAATTGTATGAGCTTGCAGATTTCCTGGTAAACCGTGCATGCAATGCTGACTGAGCTGGTAATGGAAGACATAAAAACACAGGAGTAGGCAGGGGACCCGTCTATATAACCGCAAATGAGCTGGCACTATGGAAGTATGTGTGGACATGATTGGAACACTGTCAATGACTTTTCATGTGGTCACCTGAGGTAATGGCTGGCAGGGCTGGTGTATATGTGCAGACATCTCAACGCTCCCGGATGTTCCGGAAGTCTCCCGCTATTAGAAAGCGGCTCCCGGACACCCGGGAGAGAAACATTTTCTCCCAGAAAGGTTTACTCTGCTGGATCTAACAGAGTAAACCTTTCTCTGCGATCTATTTTTTTTTTTTATCGGGGCCGCCGTCAGTCAGAAAAAAAAAAAACGGCATAGGAATGAATAGCTGGATTGCTATTGGCATTCAATTTGCAATAGCCAATAGCAGACTAACTATTGCACCCGCCCACTGCTGCTGTCAATCAGCAGAAGTTGACCTGAAGTTCTGCATCAGGTCCTCTTCTGCTGACTGACAGCAGCAGAGGGCGGGTACAATAGCCAGCGTGCTATTTTTGACAGAGGGCACCTTCCTGAAATGAGAAGGGCACCTCCCTGAAACAACTTATTTCAGGTTGGGATCCCTGTATGTGTTACCTCAGTTTCCCCCATAGACACAGTGAGGAGCTCCCAAATTTGTCTGGTTTGGACAAGAGCTGGTCTGGATCCTGAAGCATGGAGGCTTTAAAGAGCTTTGGGTGGGATAAAGCCTCCATTCCTAGGTCCACACCGTACCTGGTATCCAGTCCTCATTATTAGTCTCAGCTGTCCACAGGCCTATATACAGTATATGTGAGCTGACTGATGCTCAGGGCTCTCTCTCTGCCGCTGGGTGAAAAGGCTGAGTGCTGACAAAATACTAAACAGGACTTCCGGTTCCGGCGCCTGATGAGCTAGCGGCGATCCCGTTCTCTCCGTCCCGCCGAACACCCGATCGAGATAATTACCCGCCGCCTTACATGTCCGAACACCGCCGACAGGACTACTCAAACCCGCTGGCCGCCATGGATAAGTTCGTATCCCGTCCCCAGACGGCGAGACGATCACTAGCAGACAGCATTGAGGGAGAACATACTGCAGCCAAGATGGCGCCGGCTGCATTTACCTCACACAGTGCCACTGAGGATTCAGAAGGTGAGATGCAGATCTCTCAACCCCAATGCCCCATCGACTACACTAAACTGGCATCCGAGGTAGCATCTCACCTGAAAAATGATATTGCCCACATTGTAGCTGATGCCATTAAACTACATCTGGGAAACATATCATCGGCATTAGATTCTCAACATAAAAGATTGGCTTCTGCATAACAGCGTATTGAAAGAATAGAAACTGACACAGCTGATAACGGCACATACCTCTAGGCCGCCTCACAAAAGATGCTAATAATGTCAGAAAAGCTGGATGACCTAGAAAACAGGGCCCGCCGCAACAATTTGCGAATCATAGGCCTACCTGAATCAGTGAAACCGTGCGATCTTCTCCCATTTTGTGCAGAAGCCATACCCAGGGCATTGAGTTTCTCTCATCCTTGCGTAGCAGAACGGGCCCACAGGCTTGGGGCGCCGAGAGATGATAACAGACCACGTCCGGTCATTGTCCGATACTTGAATTTTGAGGACAAACATCAAATTTTCCAGGCCTATCGCACACAGAGAAACCTGGTGGCGGGAGGCCACAAGATCCTATTGTTTGCCGACTACTCAGCCGACCTTACCAAACGCAGAAGAGCATTCCACGAAATATGCCAAACACTGGTCCATCAGAGGATTAAATTCGCCCTGGCATACCCGGCCACACTACGCATTACATGCCCAGATGGCACTATTTCGTCCTTCTCCTCCCCAGAAAAGGTGCGCACCTTTCTCCAGAACATGGCGGACGCCGGTTCCTCCTCACCTATCAAGAGTCCTCCACGGAAGAAGAGATCAGATGCTACTCCATAAGGGCTTAAGGTGAGCCGCATCATTTAACATTCGTCTGGCGGGACGGAGACCTTATTCTCGGAACTTGCACTTAGAACTCACAGCAGTTCTTTAGTGGTTGTAGGCCCCGATGGCGATTTACACGCCGGGGGGTCTATATACCTCCTACATGCAGTTTGCAAGCTCTCAGGAAAAAAGGAAGTCACCCTACAGTTACTTCAGTTTCAACATGTTGCTGCTTGTTGCAGGTCTTTATTGTACCTTTAATTTTTTATTTTTTGTTATTTTGATCTATAGATCAGAGTACCTCCTTCTTTTGGCTACAGGGGATTCAGCACGGGGCACCCCTGCCATTACAGTCTGTTATTTAGACTTTGCATTCACACTAACCATACATCCATTTGCGGAACATGATTCTGATAAGACCAGGGGCACTGGGACACCTGGCTCTCACAAGCTTTCTTTGATGACACATTTTCCTACCTGGACTCACATATCTAAAAATGTCCGATGGGACCCCCCCTGAAAATCATTTCCTGGAATGTGAAAGGTCTTAGATCACCGCACAAACGGTCAAAAATCCTCAGGCACCTCAAGAAATTACATGCTGATATAGCCCTTCTTCAAGAAACTCACCTTTCCGGCGATGACTTCCAGAGGCTCAAGAAATCTTGGGTTGGATCGGTCTTTGGGGCTCCGTCCATAGGGAGGAAGGCTGGCGTGATAACACTCCTCAGTAAACACCTCCCCCACGAAGTCCTTCAACACCAGCAGGACACTCGAGATGGCAGATGGTCACTTCTCTCTCTCCGCATCGGAACCCGCCAACTGGATCTCCTCAACGTTTATGGGCCCAACTCAGACAACAAGAACTTCTGTGACTTCATCCTCAACAAAGCGAACTCACAACAATCGGATGCTATGTTTCTAGTGGGAGGGGATTTCAATGCGGTACCCTCTCCTCTGGAAGACCGCCGACGGTCTGACGGCTCAAGCTCTGCTGGGACCCCGCAAGACAAACATCTCACATCTGCCCTGTCAGCCAGTGGACTTGAAGATGTGTGGCGCTATTACCACCCTCTAGAAAGAGACTTCATGCACTACTCTCACGTGCACCACAGCCTCTCCAGGATTGATCTCTTCCTTGCTGCATCTTCCATCCTCCACAAAATAGAATCGGTTGACATTGAGGACATAATCATATCGGACCATGCTCATATCGTGGTATCCTTACAAGGTTTGATTTACTCCACCAGTTGTTTGGCGTTTTCCCACTTATTTGAATGCTGATAGTGAATTCTGTCAGGCGCTCAAAACCTGGTGGAATGAATACTGTATTGATAATATGCAACATACACATGACCATGTATTGTTTTGGGAAACGGGTAAAGCGGTACTTAGGGGCAGGATCTTGGCCTATGCGGCATGTAAAAAGAAATTGGCAAAAAAGGAATACAGGGCAGCTTGTCTTAACGTCAGGAAAACTTACCTCCTCTTCAAAAATAATCCATCTGAGGCAACCCGCTCAAGCTGGCTACTAGCAAAAGAGCAATGTGATCACTGGATACAACTCCTACATAGACAAATTAGATCTGCCACCGATCTGACTTTTTTTAAATACGGCAATAAATCTGGTAGGTTACTAGCTAATCTGGTCAAAGGCCAAAGGTCTTCTACACATGTCACTTGCCTGATAGTTTCTGAGGGTGTTGTCCGAAAGGACGCCAATTCAGTGTCGGAGATATTTCGATCCTTCTATCAGAACCTATATACTGCCAGCTTCCCAGACCCTACTGGGGGAGATTCTTTTCTGGGATTGATAGACTTACCCTCTCTGTCAGAAGAAGATCTAAGCGACCTCAACAGAGATATCACAGCCCAGGAGGTCCAGGACCTAATTAAACGAGCGGCTAAGGCTAAGACCCCAGGTCCTGACGGATTACCTAGCGAGTTTTATAAAATACTGATTGAGGAAACCCCTCAAACATTAACTCCACTTTTCAACCACATTTTGCGAACATCTGTGTATCCGCCCACTTTTAACCAAGCCTATATTAGACTTCTCCCAAAAAAAGGTAAAGACCCCCTTCAAGCTGGTTCATATAGACCAATCTCGTTACTCAACCAAGATGCCAAATTTCTTTCCAAAATAATGGCTGATAGACTGGCCAAGATCCTGCCGCGCCTTATTGGGCCCAATCAGTCAGGGTTTGTTCATGGTCGATCCGCAGGCATGAACGTTAGGAAGATCATCCTGGTCATGGAACACGCCAGACTGTCCAAACCTTTTCCGCACTCCATGGCTCTTTTATCCCTAGATGCGGAAAAAGCATTCGACAATGTCAATTGGCTGTGGCTCCTAAAGGTGCTGGGCAAAATGGGATTCTCCGTTTCATTCCTTAATCTAATTTCCACGATGTACACGGCTCCCTCTGCCCAAATTTACACTTCAACCCCACTATCTTCCCCATTTATTCTACAGAAGGGGACTCGCCAGGGCTGCCCATTATCTCCTTTACTTTTTAACATAGCATTGGAACCCTTATCTAGGTCACTCTCATCACCATCCACATTTAAAGGTCTTCAGATTGGCACTCAGGAAGTAAAAATTGCCATGTTTGCAGATGACATAATTCTCTTACTGTCCCACCCCAGGACCCAAATCCCTACTGTGTTTGAACTCGTAAATCGGTACGGGGCCTTTTCAGGTCTAAAAATCAATATGGAGAAAAGCGAGTTAATGTATATCAATGGGTCTTGCAATAGTGCAGAGTCCCAATGGGTCAAGAACTATGGCTTACGTCTACAGACTAAACACATTGTTTATTTAGGCATCTGTATACCGCCCTCTGCCACTAATTTATACTCTATCAACATCTCCCCACTCATCAAAACAATAACGCAGGATTTACAGAAGTGGAAAGACTTACCCCTATCTCTACTAGGGCGAAGTCACCTTATCAGAATGATTAGCTTCCCACGCCTCCTCTACCCCATGCAAATACTGCCAATCCTTTTTCAACATAGAGATAACAAGGCCCTCATGAATGCCTTCTTGAATTTCCTCTGGAAGGGGAAGAAACACCGCATTGCCGCCCACAAGCTATACAAACACTCCTCACAGCTGGGGACCAACTTACCTAACATACGTCTCTATAACTTAGCATGCATCTTTAGACACGTCCGAGACTGGTTACTCAGTTCGTCACACTACTCCAACCTTACTTTAGAGGAAGCGGCCACAACCCCATGGTCATTATCAGGGATCATACACACACCACTGCCTTTACTCCCTGCTCATATAAAACATAACATTCTCTTCAGAGACACCATTATCACTTGGAGGGAAACACGCAAACTACTGGGAATCCAGGGTCAGGTATCTCCACTAATGCCAATAACATCGACCCCAGGCTTCCCACAAGGGGCATCGTCTAAACCCTTTAAGGAATGGGAAGAGAGGGGAATATCACGGTTACAACATCTTCTCACACCTCATGGTGACTGCATCTCGTTTACCACCTTGCAGAGTATATATGACATACCTCCATCACATTTACTACACTACTACCAGTCCAAGTATTTCATTAGACGAAACTTGCCTCCCTCTCTTGGAAGCACGGCACCTATGCCCTTCACCATGGTAACTCGACGTTTGCCATCAAAAATGTCCCTGTCACATATCTACAAGATACTTAGAGACCACACCACCACTGACGATCAATCTCCCCAAAACCACATAATACAATGGGCTCTCTTTCTTGATCTTCCCCCGCAGGAGGTTCAAACCATACTCACTAGGAGTTGGCAAAGAATACGTAAAGTCACCACCAGCGAGGCATGGAGGGAAATACAGTTTAAACTGATAAATAGAGCCTACTGTGACTTTAATTTCAAACCTAAGAACACATACACCGACAGACTTACTTCTTGCCCTAAATGCGACGCTCCATTACCTGACTTAAATCATCTTTTCTGGAACTGTCCAAGAATTGCATAATTTTGGGATCATACTTTATTGTATATGCATAAAGTTACGGGCAATACCCGAAACACACACCCTCTGCTATGCCTATTCCATTCATTTGCCGATGTAAACGCTCCTCTTAATCCGCCGTTGACACGCTGGGAACACCCTTGCCTGCTTGGGGCCAAAAAGTGTATCCTTCACAACTGGATATCAAAAGACCCTCCCAATTCCTCTAACCTGACCCATATCTTATTCAAGTTTCTATCCATGGACCTGTTAGAACAGAATGCACAAACCACAGAACAAAACTTTGACATATCGGAATGGGAAGGTTTTATCCATAAAGATTTAACCGTGAACCATAAAGACGATCTACAGGCGTTCATACTAGCTACGACGGGCCGAGCATTGATTTAATGACTGGCATAACCGCCCCTTTCACATCCATGATCTAGCTCTTTCACTTCCATTAATTCATGATTCATTTTCCGCACTGCAACATTAATTGCAATAAAACATCCCTTTAACATAGATGCTCTGGTCTTCTTCCTCTTCTTCTTCTTCTTCTTCTTCTTCTCATTGTTTATATTATTATTTGTGAGATTATTATTGACATTTATATTGCTTTTCATCTTCTTTGGATCTTATGTTCTCCTATTACTTGACTCTGTATCGCTTATTGTACACCTTGGTATAGTATATTTAAGGTCAATTATATTCATGTGGTGTAACAGTAATGCATAATTCAATGTATATGTTGAAAAACATGTAATTCATTTCGTATTCAATACTTGTACTTATTCATGCATCACCTGTACTTAAGCTGTCTGTGTTGGGGAACCCTGTTAGTCTGGAACTGACCTGAGTTAAGTTAGTGGCCTGGATGAGCAGATGTTTTGTTTGTTTACACTATGGACCTGCTGTACGATGCCCTTCTGCATTGACTGTTTGTTTGCTGCCTTGCTGAATAAAAGTACAGCACAAACCTGCTTGGACTGTTCCGAGGTGTCCCTGTCTCATGCATGATTTACCGCTGCCAATACCAGTGGAGCCTGCCCCCCTTACAGTCAGGCTGTCCATGCAGGACAAAGAACAGGTTTACTTCTCTGTAACATTTGTCACAGGGATAACACAATGCGAAGCTGCTCTATAGAGGTTTAAGCCGAAAACGACTCTGTTCACCAACTGGCACACATGTTTATGTAAGGAAATTGTGTCACCTGGGCTTCTGATGGAGATCACAAGTGGCTGTTTCAGCATACTGTACATTACACAGACTGGTCCACTGTTGTCACTGTCAGGGAACCCACCTTGAGAAATGCCATGCAGGCATTGCTCGAGTTCATGTAGACAGGAAGTAGCTACTAGGGGGCTGCGGGAGATCAGCAGCACTGAAATGCAGCAGAAGATTAAAGTAAGGTGAAAACAATATGTTAAAAAATGGCAATTGTTTATAATACACAGTGCTTCAGTAATGATTTACATCTACTTTAATCATTTCATTCTTACATTCTTTTTAGCATTGGTCTAGGAGCTTCTTCCTTGTTGCTGGTAGTTACTTATCCACTAATGAAGAGGATCACCTACTGGCCACAGCTTGTATTAGGTAAACCTGCAAATATCACAGATATGACGAATGTGAAACGTATGGTTCCACTCTGGCAGATGACATGGAAAGAATGATGAAATATTGGAGTAGAAATGATGCTATTATATTATATTTTAGTGATGAGATATGGAGCCATAGCACACACACACACACACACACACACGACATGGATCCATATAGCTTGTTTTAAAGAAGAACTCTGGGCACATAAAAAAAAATTACCGTTGCAATGGGGCTTCCCCTGTACTGCAAGGATTAAGGCCCGGTTCACACATGGGCGTTTTGTAGCGCGTTCCTACGCTCTGCAAAACGCTCAAACACCGAAATCCCATTATTTCCTATGGGTATGGTTCACACCTGGGCGTATTACAGGCCGTATGAATTCGCTACAAAACGCCCTACGCCCAAAGAAGTACAGGAGCTTCTTTGGGGCGTATTTGCCGCGCGTATCCATTGGGATACAGCCAGGTAGCCCTCGGAAACGCGCCTGTGTCGCCATTTTTTTACCACGAATCGCATTTAAAAAGGCGCGACAAACGCGCATATTCGATACGCCTAGGTGTGAACCCAGCCTAAAGTGACACTAAATTCAGCCGTTAAATCATCTGCATTCAAGTACTTGAACTGTTCACAAAAATGTATCTAATTTGTGTATCACTCGGCTGTAGAGCCTCAAATAATCTCTGAATTGGCTCTGACACTGTCCTTCCTTCTGGAGGGTGGCTACTTTTGTTCCCCATGTACTACCTGTGTGTGTTGTAAAGTAGTCACCACTCCAAGCTCACTCCCGTGATGGACTACAATCTCAGTATAGATGAATAAACTAAACATGAGATTGTAGTCCATGATGGGAGAGAGCTTGGAGCGGTGACTACGTTACAACACACACAGAGACCATGGGGGACAAAGGTAGTCAACCTCCAGAAGGAAGGACAGTGTCAGCACCAATTCGGAGATGATTTGAGGATCTGCAGCCGAGTGATACACAAATAAGATACATTTTTATGAATAGTTCAGATACTTAAATGCATTTTTAAGGTTTCATTCCTGAGTTTAGTGTCATTTTAAGTGCTCAATCTGTCTTGGGGGGCTAGAATAAAGCAGTTTTACTTGCATGATCCTGACTTCCATGGCGGTCAGCTCTCACCTCTCTCCCCCTCCACTCTGGCTGTAAAATGTCCCTTGGCATTCTCACGTCTCATGTATGTCAATGGGCCTGCATAAGACGTGATGATGTCAATGGTCCAAGGGAGAAGAAGCTGCGAGGACCGGTCTAGAAGCCCAGAGGGAGCCAGGATCAGGTAAGTACTTCTGCTTTATTCCAGCCGCTAGCCCAAAACAAGCACTTACCTCTTGCAGTGCAGGGCTGCCCCACTGCAAGGTAAAAAAAAAAATTGTATGTGCCCGGAGTTGTTCTTTAAAACAGCTTAGTACTAAAGAAACTATTAAGCATTGTAAATACCCAGTTAATACTGCTGCAGCCATGTTAAATAGGATTACAGAGGTGGAGATAAAACTCCAACCCTTTTGCAGGTATTGACTGTAGTCCACAGCTGGAAATTCGCCCCTTCCCAGCTAACATGACCAGGTAAGCTGAACGTCCATGTTCCCATTCCCAGAGTGCATTCTTTATCTATTCCTTCTGAGAATCTGCATGGAGGCTGGCGACCCATAAATCTGTACGATAACGCTGGTGCCACTGTCTTTCCCCTTACTAGAAACGTCTTAGCAATGTATGGAATGTATACTTTAGAAAGAGGAACTAAGAAATTCAGATCACGGCACAGCCCAGGTTGACAAAGTTCCAGTATGGGATCCAGCTTTGTCTTTACACACCCAAAGCTAAAAATTAAACATTTTGGCTAAGTTTTACTTTAATATCTGTAAAAAATAAGTAAAGGCAACTGGACTTGCTGTATTTTTCTTGAGGATGTTTCACTGGTCATCCAACCAGCTTTCTCAATTCAGAATGACTTTTACAAAAATTATCTGGGAATAAATATGGTGAATGCTGCTCCAATCCACATAATCTGTTAGTCGCAACCAGGTGTTCATTGCATTTGTATAATTGGAGCTAGGAGGTGTTATTAACCTGTCCAGAGCCAGGGCCAAGCTTGAAAAGAGGTGG